GGTGTTGGATATCTACTTGAGTGCACACCTGTCCCGCTTCTGCAGACACTCTTGATTCTAGGATTGCTTGTACCAAGGTGAGAGGGAGAGCTGGGTAGAACAATGAGAGGCACTCATGACTGCAAATCTCCCTCTACATTCTGCCTGTGTTTGTGCGTGTGTGTAGGAAGAGAACAGGGCTGTGCTATCTCTGCACGTAGATTGTGCCTATTCAGTTCATCTCCCTCTAACTAATAGTGTAATATGCGTAAGCAAAAGTAGAATTACATTTGCATAAAATGATAATTTAGCGTATTTCTTGTCTTGTCTCAATAACTCATGGCTCAATATTTATTCAAATTGCCTCTATTCCACTCTATAGCAAAAAAATATATATTAAAAAAAATTAAGAAGTTGCCAGAGTGACAAATATACAGTCCTTGCCCTCAGGCTTACAAAGTTAAAAAAGGCACAACATAAAAGGGAAATGGGTTAAGAGGGAGAAGATAAGCACCCTCAGGTTATAACGTCTTAGTCACAGATTGGCCAGGAGGAGCCCAAAGTTGTTGGTTTCAGCTACACCAATGGAGTGACCCCACCTCCCTTCCCTTTCTCTATTGAAACCCGATGTAATGGCTGCTGGCAGGAAATAGTTGTTGGAGGAAGGAGCCTGGCTTCTCTGCAGAGCTGGTGCGGGTCCTGCATCCCTCCTTCCCCTTCCTCTTCTGCAGCTTGTTGTAATGTAAACATATAGTTGGTTTATCAGTGGGCATGGATGCACACATGGCCCATTAGAGCAATGCAGGTGGGAAGGTAATGTGAACCATCTTAACTAAATGTAAACTATCTTCCCTGAACAGATGTGAACCCTAAACAGCATGTGCCACTGGATGAGTACACTGACAATTTGAAAAGTATGATACAATACCTAAAGTCTGTGGACATTACAGAGGATAAAGTAATTTTGGTGACTCCACCACCCCTCCATGAAGCAGCTTGGGAAAAAGAGTGCATTGCCAAAGGTAAGAGAGTTTTTATCTCCTCTCATTTTGGATTAAGAAAAGAAAACAGTGTACCTAAGCTCTGAAGACTCTAGTGGTTACATGTTCTATAGGAAGTAACTGTCTTAAGTGACAACTGGTGGCCATTGCTGTGTGATCATAGAACTGCTATGCTATGATTTAAATGCTATAGAAGCAAAGCAAAATGTCTTGATTAGCTAATGCTTCTGTACAGCAAGCAAATAGGCTTAACACATTTTTAGTATTGTGGCAAATGTAGTTTTGGGAAGTGCTATAAGTTAATTTTCACTAGCCTGCTCACATGGTCTCTGCCAACTTTGTTCCATCATCCACACCTCACTAAATTGAAGTGCGTGTCTGTGCATCCAACACCTTCAAAATAAGAATGAAAACATGCAGCATTGTGGATGTAGATCCGATTATTTAAAGAAAAAAACCACCATCCAGCAGTAGGTATGTGAACAAAAATATTTTGCTGTGTACTGAGTTTCCAGGGGTGGAAAACTAAAAATCCTTGGGGCCTCGCTGCCCAGCCCACCATGTCCCTTCCTTGCCCTCTCCCAAGAAGGTTTTAGGCTTGCAAAAAGCATCTTGTGGAGCCATTGGAGACTTTTTTCAAGCAGCTAGAGTGTGTTTTCCAAGGGGAAATGCAGGCAGGGAAGGCTTGAGAACAGCCTGGTTTTGGTGCCCATAGCTAAGGGGGAACTGTTGTGGCTCCTTTCCACACTCGAGTTTATTTCTACTCCAACTTTCTAATTATACATGGAGTGTTCAAGGTACATTGAATTATAATATATAACATCAAGTCATTACACAGCAGAAATCACAAAAAACTAAATAAAAATTCCAGAAGATGTATGAAAAGCAAACAGGTCAGACCAAAATGGGAGCAAAGTTGCCCACATGAAAAGCTCAGATATTACTTCAGCAACCTGACATACCCTAGCAAGTGTTCATATTGACATGCAATTAGGTATATGGATCCTTGAAGCCATATTCAAATTATATTTGGATGTGGAGCTTGAATCATAATTGTGCTATCAATGCAAGAAGCAAAAAATCTAAAGCAAAGCCCTCCTTTTGTTGACCTTTTCCCCTCCCTGCCAACCCCCAATTCTCAACAGGTGAAAAATTAAACCGCCTCAACTCTACCACAGGAGAATATGCCAAGGCATGTGTTAAAGTAGCCAGTGATTGTGGCACTTCCATCATTGATCTGTGGACACTTATGCAAAAAAATAACCAGGTATGACCCGTTTTATTTATTTATTGGATTTGTTGGTTGCTTTATGTTGGGCAAGACAACCCAAAGCAACTTACAACCAAACCAATCTCTAGACATTTTAATAGTGAGTTTTTAGAATGTCATTAGAAACAGTGTGTCAGTTTGGGACACTCATTAAACTGAAGCAAAGGTTGATTCAAAGGGCCCCTGCCGTGGTTCTGTAGAACAGTAGTAGCTTGCTTAAATGTGTTTGGCTTTGGTTTCCTTCTAAAAAGTCACCAGACTAGTTTGTTGTATCTTTTGAAAACATCCGTTTTAGGACTTTGGCTGCTACCTCTCCGATGGACTTCATTTATCAGCAGAAGGAAACAATTTTCTAGCAAACCAGCTTTGGTCACTCCTGGAACAAAGAACATCAGCACTTCCTGTAATGCTTCCCTACTGGCGTGATGTAGATCATCTCAACCCTGAAGCTAGCCTTCAGGGGAATCTTCATGATTTATAAAAGTTATAAAACAGTGGCTGCTGGAGAGAAAACAGCAGGTATCTTTTCGAATACAAAATAATTTTTCCTATATTTTTAGATTGTCTGAATCATTTCAATTTTTCCTCATTAAACAGTGGCATTAAGCTGTAGTAGTGCCTCAAGCTATACTGAAGGCATATTTAAACAATCCAGTAATTGCAGTGACCAACTGAACTTGAAGCTGAGTAATTCCATAGTAACTGTATCATTTATAAGCTTCTTAACACAATATTTTGTGTTTTAGCTAATATTTGAACTCCTATTGAGCTACTTGTGTTTACTGTCTCGATTTTTCCTACAAAAATAACACCACAAGTAGTTTATATGCTCTTTTTATTGTGACCAGCTTTTTACCCAGACTTTTGGCAGCAGAGCCACTCCCATATTCAGTCCCAAGGTTCACACCAGCCAGGACATGAGGCAGGTAGAAGCCTGGAGCTGGCATAGCAATTGGAGCTGATGTCTCTTAAGTCATAGCAGTGGAACCAGCTCTGGATCGTAGGTCATCTCAGCTTCTTCCCAGCAGGAAGTTCACTGACTTTTAGTGGGTAGGATGGGGAGAGCAACACTAGCATCACTCCACAGCTGGAGGCTGGTGGAACTGTACCTATGCCCATAGCAGATGAGCAGGTTGAATGTCAAGTTCAGGGGTCGGCAAGGCTTACCGGGTGTGGGCCAGATTACTCCTGCGGAGATTCAGTGCAGCACCAGAAATCGCATCTGCGCATGTTCGTGGCGCTGGAAATCGCTTCTGTGCATGCCCAGATGCCGAAAACTGTGCCTGCGCAGAAGTGATTTTTGCCGTCTGCGTGTGCAGAAGCGATTTATGGAGCCGCGGAAGACAGTCCCCGCACTGTGCCAGTGTAGCGCAGTGCAGGGTGACTCGCTGAGCAGTTGGCTCAGTTTGGGGGTGGCTCGTGGGCCGGTTAAACAGTCTCCGTAGGCCACTTCCGGCCCATGTGTCTTAGGTTGCCAACCCCTGGTCAAATTGATGACTAGAATTGAATCGTAAGTTGTAATTAATTTCAGATTACTATCTCCAGGCAGCACATAAACTTAAGAACTTGCCTCCCAGGTTTACTTAATATTACTAGTTTTCAACAAATTCATTTCTTACATTCTTTAGATTAAGGGAAGTTTATATTTTGTCATATTTCAATAAAAATTGAATTGGAAAACAAAAAGTAAGTTTTGAGTTTGTCTGGAACACTCATGCCACACTGTGTTCTTTGACGTTTTTGTCCTATTCAAATATTCAACTCAACTGCCTTTGGCTATTCAAAAAACTTTTGAGATATTTTACACAGCATGTAAGATTAGTGAATATTTCTAGTTATAAAATCAGGTATCAGTTTATTTAAGGCAAGCGACCATTTCCCAGAAACCCACATATTTACTTAAAGCCTGGATTGCCGCCTTCAGCTCTTCCCTTTGTGCTCTTTGGTTGCACACTGTTGGATATCATTGCCCTATCTATATTCTTTATGTATTTTCTGATTGCACGTGGCTATTTTATTCAGAGAAATGAGGTCAAGGCATGGTAGTAGTTACAGACTTCTGTTTTCAGTGGTGTTGCTTTTCTGCTAGACAAATAAAGGAAGTGAGATACAGCCTAAAAGAGGGTTGAAAGGTGTTGCTGTAATTAAATGTAACTAGAGAGGCTCTCTGAGCTGACAGCCTCCTAGTGGCTGTGTTCAGACATCATGCTAAACCATACATGCTGCTTTAGTTCAGCCATGAGGAGTTCAGAAGCTTTTCTTTCTATTTTTGCTTAAGCACAACTTACACTGTCCAAACTAACAAAACTGTGGTTACTGTTGACATAAGTAGTAGAGCAAAAAATTAAATTCTGAACTCCTTGCAGCTATATTGGAGAATATGGGTCGGGGCAAGGGGAGAGCATAAGAGCTCAGTGTCTGCTGTGACTTGTTCCTATCATGCTTTATGATTTAATGTGACTGCGAAATTGGGCCAGTGTCTAATTAAAAGTCTAATGTACAAACCAACATTAATCCCACTTCATAAAAAAAATTAGCAATTAGCCATCACTTAAATCTTGGAACTGAAATAATTTAGTGGGATTTTATTGGAAAATGGCAGATAACATTAAGTTCTGGCAGTGCCAAAATCCTATTTCAGTCGCTTATCTTTAGCATACAAAATGCTGGTGTTAACCCAACTACTAAAATGAAATACTACATCCTAATCAATTTCAGAATGCAATAAAAAGGGAAGAACAGTACCTGAATTCATAACTAATCCATTCTTTGTTTATTACAGGCAATCATGGTAATATACCTTTGATTAGATCACACCTCTACAGAAGGTGCATTTACTACAAAGAGAAGTCAGCTTGCACACAGCGCTTTTAAGGAGAGGTATAAAAATCACTTTATTACATTGTATTGGGAGTTCACTTCTCACACAAATTTTTACTGCTAAGTAAGAAATCTAAAATCAGACTATAGATACAAATACCAAAAGGGCACAAGTTCAAGTATTAGTGTAACAAATATCCATGAAAAAGACACATTTGTCACAGGCTTGGTTGATCAGATATGAAAAAATACAAGTCTTTCATAACTGAGGATTTTTTTATATACTTTGTTGGCTTTTGATGCAGCTATTAAATGTGTACATTTTACACAAATTAATGTAGGACATGATTATGTTGCAAAATAGTTATTTAAGCAGTAACACCACTTTCTTCGGTCCATGCAGTTCTATAGTCACAGGCCCCAATATTGAAATCATTCTCCTCCTGCCAATTTATAAGGGGAAAAAACTTTGCAGGGTCTCAACACCACCCCCAACTATAAGAAAGGGTATGGAGTGACCACATGATTTGTATCACATGAAAGCCACGATCAGCAGCACTATTTTTAATCAAATTTTGGCAGGCAGCAATTTGCTAGAATAAAATCATCTCCCCACACAGCTGAAGGAGTAAAGTTTCAATGCACATTTTTACCCACTTGGTTTTGTAGAAAAAGGCCATCATCCATGACATTGTCATGTGCCCTTAAAGCCCTGCTGAAATAAATGGAACTTTTAACATTGCTTAGGTCTCTACTAGCTTCTGGTCAAAAATTGCATAATTAAAAGTCCTGTTTCAACCGACCATGAAAACATTTATCAGATTTGCTGTGTTACCTTAACCCCCCCCCCCAATAACACTTCATAAGTCTTTCTTAATTTAAAATGTTCACCTCATTTTTCCATCTTAAAAGAAAAATACTGCTGAATGCTGAAATACAAGAAGGTAAATCACTACATATTGGGGCTTCTGTATTCTAAAAACTTTGCAGTGCTGTTCAACTACAAAAAGGCACATTATAAAAATACTAAGAAACAATTGGTATTAGGCAGATTATGCCTCGATGCCACAGGCTGAAGGAAATGTTCAAATCAAGACTACAAGAAAAAAAAAATTCAAAAAGTTTCAGTACACTTGAGTCTGTGTGTACATAGCACTCACACTGAAACTAAAGAAGATCATACACATGGCCAGCATCTGCAGTAGGTCACTTCCTTGTTTCTGTTTTCCAATACAATATATACACATACAAGATATTTCTATAATGAAATGGCGTTAGTTCATCAAATTGAACATGATTTTTGCACATCAGAGCCAGCAGCTCCAAAGGCAGCTAGAGACTAGCATTCCGTTTCTTTGCTGTCCACTCTGTGTTGGCGTTGCAGTTTGAAGGACGATGCTTTCTCACTCCTTGTGACAGGATGATCTGTAAGATCCTCAAACGACTTGGCAGTTGTGCTGTTGTTTGGGAAAGGAACCTTATCAAAGCAATCATCCTCCTCCATGTGAGAGTCTGTACTAGGATCCTCTTGAATGGTGTCCATTCTTTGATGGTCCAGTTTCGGAACCACCGCTGCCACAGAGACTGGTGCAATAGGCTGCAGGGGCTGGAGCCGGCTAGTCGATGGCACGGCAGGAGGCGGCTTGATAATTCGAACAGAGGCCGAATCCATGCTGCTCAACATCTCAACATTCTGCAAGGACACAAACAAGCAGCACAGTTATGGAACAATACTGGTGGCTGAAAACACAGTGCCAGATCTCTTCAATCTCTGGACAAGCTGTCCACAAATGCTCTGTAGCTAAGGTGGCTACCAAGCAGTACTAAGATTCAACACAGATGGCAGAAGACTGACTAGCACTACCAATCCCAGAATTCTGGGAGATACAAATCCTGGCATCAATAGTGGCAGAGGAGCAAGTTACTTTAATAATTTTGATGTACTATGAACTGTAGGATCTTGAAGTGACTTCAGTTTCATCTCTTCAATATCTTTTTGACATGTTGGAGGAGTATGGGGTATAGATGTTTTGGTGCTCGGAACTTTCCGTCTATCACTAGCACTAGCTGATTCAAATAAAGTTGAATCCAAATAATGAGAGTAAACAAGTGTAAATGCCCTGGGAACAGGAATTCCTAGTACAGTGGTGCCTCGCAAGACGAAATTAATTCGTTCCGCAAGTTTTTTCTTCTTGCGAGTTTTTTGTCTTGCGAAGCACGGTTTTCCATAGGAATGCATTGAAAATCAATTAATGCGTTCCTATGGAAACCGCCTTCAGACCAGGTCCGGGGACAGTCTGTCCCCCGACCTCTTCTGAAGGCTGGGGGGGGGACAAGGGCTTTTCTTCCCACCCCCAGCATTTTAAAAAACCCCGGGACAGCGGAGGGCTTCTCCGCTGTCCGGGGCGATTTAAAAGTCCTGGACCTCTTCTGAAGGCGGGCGGGGGGCGAAAGTCTTTGCTCCACCCCACCTGCCTTCAAAAGCCGTCCGGGATAGCGGAGAAACGCGCTGCGTTTCTCCGCTCTCCCGGGAAGGCAGGCAGGGGGGAGCAAAGACTTTCGGCCCCCGCCGGCCTTCAGAAGAGGTCCAGGACCTCTTCTGAAGGCGGGCGAAAGTCTTTGCTCCCCCCCCCCGCCTGCCTTCAAAAGCTGTCTGGGACAGGCTTCGCGGACCTCTCCGCAAGCAGCGGGAGTGCTCCCGCTGCTTGCGGGGAGTTGCCAGCATACCGAAGCCTGCGCACGCTGAGATCAGGGGGGAGCAAAAACTTTTGCCCCCCGCCGGCCTTCAGAAGAGGTCCAGGACCTCTTCTGAAGGCCGGCGGGGGGGCAAAAGTCTTTGCTCCCCCCGCCTACCTTCAAAAGCCGTCCGGGATAGCGGGAAGCGCTTCCCTGCTATCCCGGACTGCTTTTAAAATGCTGGCGGTGGGGAGCAAAGCCTTTCGGCCCCTGCCGGCCTTCCTGGACCTCTTCTGAAGGCCGGGGGGGGGAAAGGCTTTGCTCCCCACCGCTAGCATTTAAAAGAGGTCCCCGGAGATTTCCCTGTGGGCTTTCTTCTTGCGAAGCAACTCGCAAACGGAAAACCCTTTCGTCTTGCGGGTTTTCCGTCTTGCGAGGTATTCGTCTTGCGGGGCACCACTGTACTACAAAATTAGAGCATTCAGCTGAACAGAAAGCAAGTTCATGACTTTAAAACGAAAAGATGTATATACCACAATTCTACAAAACTTCCAGTGTGGTTTACTAAAAGTGTATCAACTTCTGGAAGATACATTTATTCCATGGAAATTTGTTCATCCTAAACATCATGAATAGGTCTCAGTACTGAGAAGTCTCTGCAAGCCTCTGTTACATCTGTTTTGTAACAAATAGGATAATGAAAACATTATTCAGCAAAAAGCAAACTTACACTGGGGCCAAAGAGAGATTTGGTGTTCTCTTCATACTGCCTATCCAGCTTCTTGTCCTATTAAAAAGAGGGAAATGTAACAAGTCAGCTATGGAAGACACCCACCCCTGTCCACTCCAATTAACTTCAGGGTAGAACTTTCCCTAAATGTTTAACTACCCACTATCATGAGTAAAGCTCAAGTATATTCACCAGGACATTGTGTTTAATAAATGAAGCAAAATATAAACACCTCTCTTTAATTTCTGCCCACACTTAAATCAAAAGCATCTGTTTCATGAGGTTTGTAATTGAAACTTACCACACAGTGTACAAGAATGCTTAGAGGAATCCAAAATATTAAGGAGAATACAAGCACAGATCCTACTATGTTGTCTGCTAAAAATTTTCCTGTAAAAAAAGAGATACACCCAATTTCAGAGGCAGACAAAATATATTTGGGTCCAGTGTTAAGAATTCTACAAATATTTTTCAAGTGGTAGCTAGTCCATCTGCTGTCACAGGATCATATAATTTGTTCAGTAGATACAATTCTGAATGACTTGTTTTTAAATCAGAGTAGACCCACTGAAATGGACTAAAGTTGATCAGAATGAATTTAAAAACCCAAGAAAATGTTCATGAGTACAACTGATTATGACTTAGTTGGATATAATGCTTTATCTTCAAAATGTTTAAATGTTACTGTATTTCCCAATGTTGTGGAATTGCAAGTGAGTGTTCTCTTAGTTCTCCAAGACTTCTGTGGGTGTTGTTGTTTTTAATTAAACTATTTCAATTCTGCCCTACAACAGTTGATCTTTTTTACTGCCATTTTACCTTATTACCTGCCAACTTTCAAATAGTAGGATTGTAACTCTGGAAATCTACTTTATCTGTGCTGAGGGGGAAACAAGTTATACACAAGCAAGTTAACTGGCCTTAAAAAAGTGTTTTTACATAACTTTAGTGAAAGAGATTCTACAATGTGTTTCCTTTCTGTGACTTAAACCAGCTGATAGTTTCATTCTCAGAGACTACTCTGAATTCTTTTCTTAACTAAACATGCAGAAATCAATTAAGTGTGACCAAATTGTCTTCACCTTATCAGTATTGGATCTAACATTCTAAGTATTTTAATCTGTACAGTGCCATAGCATGCTGCCGGCACGAAATAAGCATTTAATAAATAACTCAGCTAAGCCAATTGATGAGCTTTATCTCCACAAATGTAAAATATACTTTAACTTGCTAGTAATCAATTTCATTGGGTGATGCTGGGTTCCTCATACTATGGGAGGGAGTTCTTTATTCTGTTCTTTTATAAGCTGAAGATTTGTTTTCAATCTGAGCATTATAAAAGCATGGAATAAAGTGTCCCTCCCCTAGTACCAGGACCCAGCATCACCCAATGAAATTAATTACTATCAAGTTCAAAATGGGGGAGGGGGTGGAGTTCTTGATTCCCTCTATGCTAATAGTGAACCCAGTTTCCAAACTGCTTCTTTATGTAGCTACTGAGATGATATCAGAAGACTTGGAGGAGCCCCAAGGTTTTCAGAAATAAAAAAATACAGAAAGAAACAGGAGGGAACCACCCCTCAAACACAGTCCAATGGAATGGAATGGAGTGTTCGGGTGTAAAGCACAGCTGCTAAAAGAGCGGAGTATTCCACACTGCAATGTTGTTTGTTACACTGAACAAGTGCATGCATGTACACATCAAGTCAGTCATTTGTGGTCACAAGATGTGGTGGTGGCTACCATTAGTTTAGGCAGCTTTTAATTTCTTTAAAGACAATTTCAGGCCCATCAACAACTGTTTGCCAAGATAGGCAAATTTGAACTCTTGTGTCCAAATTTCCCATGGAAGGATACTCTCTCTCTCTCTCTCTCTCTCTCTCTCTCTCTCTCTCTGTGTGTGTGTGTGTGTGTGTGTGTGTGTGTGACAGCCATCTCCTTCATGCTCTGCTAGCAAACTCTCACCAAACAGATCCCAGCCTGACCAAGCAAGGCAATGTTTGATTTCTTCTACTCTCAACATATAAATGCTTAGAAAATAAACCTTAAAGCAAAATGGGCTACAGTTCAACTACAATATGCAAAGATGACCTGTGTTCGTGTTGTGTTACCAAGGTCACTTAAGTATTCAGCAATATGCTTTGTACTGCCATACAAGTTGTATTGCACCCACTTTCATTAGATTTGATCATGAGGCCTGAACCATCTTCTCAGCGTGGCAACGTATGATCTTCAGACACACCTTGAAGTACAGTCTTGCACTTTCCTGCTACCACTTAAAAAACAACATTAAGTACCACTACCTGTGGTGACATCAAAATCAGTGATCGAAACACCTGCTTTCAATGCTCACACTCTGAAATCAAAAGATAAAGGCACTGAATGCAGAACAGCAAGGTTAAGAACAGGTTTATGGATTTCAAGGGAAGCTTACCTAGCGTATTGATGCTTAGCTGCTCAATGAAAACCCAAAGCCGCTCGATCACATCCTGCACACGCTTCTCACATTTACCCTGCAAGACATAATGTTTCATAGAAAGCCATTTTATGCAATGTAAATTTCAGTCATTCCATCTTGAGGGACTGAGTTATGGTTTAAGGGTATGTAAAGATCGGGAGGAAGCCCCTTTATGTGCTTGGGTGTCAATTATCACCTAATATTTTAGCTCAAACCACAGAATGAATTGGTAGGAACTTACAGAGTCAATTTGTTTTGGCAATGCTATTGTTACACTGAAGAAGCTTCTGGAAGGAAAATATGTGATGTGAATTAAGACTGCAGCTGGGCATGAGCAGAAATACAGAACTTTATTTAAAAGGGGCTTTTCTTCCCCGGATGAAATGACTATGAGCTCAATACAAGTGTGACCAAGAGCATCACCCACATGTCACACTGTGAGGAAAGGGCAAGGAATATTGTGTAGGTGGAACACTTCAGCTGGAATCTGAAGGCCTACTTTAGGCATAACCAAAAGTAATTTTGTTTTGTTTGAACAGTAGATCATAATGCATAAAAAACAGTGGTTTTTCAAATTTAAATTGAATTTTACCAATGTATTTGCCTCTGCCAGATATACTGAGTTAAGAGAAAGATTTTCTAAGCAAACAAGGAACCAATTTGATTATTTCCCAAATATGAATATTTATAGTTTACCAACCAAGCATAGGTGTTGAAAAGCAAGTATTATAGTCTACTCAATATCTATCAGTATTTGAGTATTTCTTTTTTGTGAGGATGGAGTTTACATGGTGGGCAGGGAGAAGAAAAGATGAATATCCCAGTGCGCAGCTTCTTATATTCCAATACAGTGGTGCCTCGCAAGACGAAATTAATCCGTTCCGCGAGTCTCTTCGTCTTGCGGTTTTTTCGTCTTGCGAAGCACAGCTATTAGCGGCTTAGCGGCTATTAACGGCTTAGCGGCTTTAAGAAAAAGGAAACAAACTCGCAAGAAATCGCAAGACGTTTCGTCTTGCGAAGCAAGCCCATAGGGAAATTTGTCTTGCGGAACGACTCAAAAAACGGAAAACCCTTTCGTCTAGCAAGTTTTTCGTCTTGCGAGGCATTCGTCTTGCGGGGCACCACTGTACTTAATCTATCAAACTGCCATGGGTACTGGTCACAAGAGATCCTATATGAGAATATTTTAAATACATTTCCCTCCATAGCTTAAAAAAAATTAATGCAAAATGTACACAGTGCAACAGAGATGCAAAACATGGTAATAAAAATGACACACAGTAAATCATGTTCTATTTAGCTGTAAAACTAACACTGTTTAGTGAGCAGATTCACACCGTTGTTTAGGAAATTAAGTAGTGTCAATGGGTGTTAACTGGACACTTTGCTCTAGGTGGCCAGTTTAAATAAACACAAACTGCTCAAAAATCTGCCTAAAGTCCCATATGGTATATGAAACTACTTGAGTGGTTCTATGGATATTGATAAAGAGAAAGGGGGAAAGGTAGATGGGATAGTGGGAAGAACCAGAAAATAGGCAAATGATGCAAAAACCACAGCAACAGTGTTAAGCTGACCATTTTGGTTTCGCTCTGGGACCAATTTTAGGACATGATGCCACAAGAACAAAATTTCACAGTGATCTATTTTCTGATTTTGCACCAGTATGCTTTGAGGAGGTGAAAAATATTATCCTAACCCTGTATACACTCACATTCATGTCACAGAATCCCACAGTGCATGGCTTTCCTTTCCTCAAATACAGGAAATTCCGGTTGTCATCAACGGTTGGGCTGCATCTCCCATCCTTGTCTCGACAGCAGACCTTGCAAGAGTTATCCGTTTCTGAAATTAAACATGCAACTTCATAGTTAGCTTTTGGGATATTTATGCATTACTCCTTTACGAAAAAGTAATTTCCCTTTGCTGATCATACAGCTTTTCAATTCATTAGTCTACTCTTGAAGACCGCACTATTTTATGAACAAGTTCCTGATGGTACTCAAACACAGATAACAACTTAAAATTTATAAGAAGCAGCACCCTCCACTCTGGTAAGAAGGAAAAAGGAACTTCATTAAACCCAGAGTAAAATGGAGATATTCAAGGGTTAGTTCCCCTGCAACAGATATTTAAAGCTTCCTTACCAATCAGTCCCAAGTAACACCACCACCAAATAAAACATTTTATTTCAACTATTCCAAAGAGTGGCACTGGAAAGTACTAGCGCTGCCACATAAACAAGGTCAAGAAGTAAACAAGTAGGCAGGGAACTGGGGAAGGGCATAGAGCACATGCCTTGAATGCAAAAGGCCAAATATTCTATCTGGTGTCTCCAGGTACAACTGGAAAAGATTCCTGCCTGAAACCTGAGAGCTTCTACCAATAATACTGAGCTAGATATAGGTAAAGGTAAAGGTACCCCTGCCCGTATGGGCCAGTCTTGACAGACTCTAGGGTTGTGCGCCCATCTCACTCTATAGGCTGGGAGCCAGCGCTGTCCGCAGACACTTCCAGGTCACGTGGCCAGCGTGACAAAGCTGCATCTGGCAAGCCAGCGCAGCACACGGAAACGCCGTTTACCTTCCCGCTAGTAAGCGGTCCCTATTTATCTACTTGCACCCGGAGCTGCTTTCGAACTGCTAGGTTGGCAGGCACTGGGACTGAGCAGCGGGAGCGCATCCCGCCATGGGGATTCGAACCGCCGACCTTTCGATCGGCAAGCCCTAGGCGCTGAGGCTTTTACCCACAGCGCCACCCGCGTCCCGAGCTAGATATACTGACTTGATATAAGACAGCTTTCTTGCACTAGCAGAGAAACATTTACCATTACCATCTGACCAAAGCTCTAGAACAGTGTTTCCCAAACTTGGGTCTCCAGCTGTTTTTGGACTACAATTCCCATAATCTGACCACTGGTCCTGCTAGCTAGGGATGATGAGAGTTGAACAAAGTCTGGCAGTTCATTCAAGCTGTTACCTGACCCCAGCACAGACAATATTAGTGCCTGTTAACAGGAGACCTTGCCTACCTCTAGCTAATGAAACAGCCCTCTAAAGGGAAAATGCATGCTGCTCTCCTTCACTTTGCTATGTCTATGGCTTGAGCAATCAGTTTTCAATGTCAAGTAAGCCCTGGCTCATCATGTAAGGGAACCCTCCTTACCATTACAGGCGCATGAACTCTGGTTCTTCCCCCACTCACAGAAGGGTATGCATGAGCCATCTTTGCACTTGCCCAAATCCACACAGACAGTGTCATCTGGGGCATTCCCTGGGGGAGGACATTCACTGCTATTGCCTATGAAGAGATTTAGTGAGAATTAGCCTTGCATCAGGATACGAATATCTGGAAATAAACAAAGTAAGGATGCAATCCTAACCCCATTTACCTGGGGTGAAGTCCCAGTATATTTAACAGGACATACTTCTGAGCAGACATGTTTAGGATTTCTATGGCTTGCTAAGGACAGGTAAGAGATCCTCACAAGTTCCTTCACACAGCAAGTCTCTCTGAAAGACTTCCCTCAAGAAGATTCCTACTACAGATGCCAAGAGGCAACACTAGATTTTGCAGGCATCCACTGAAAGAAGGACATCTCCCGCACGCAGCTGATGCCTGCAAAAAGCAGGCTTCTTTCTCACCCCCAGCCCCTGCTTCCCATCTGCTGATGGCCATAAGAAGAAAGGACTTTGCCAATTCTATGATCAGCACAGCCCAAAGAGCTAAATACAGGGGTACCTCGGGTTACATACACTTCAGGTTACAGACTCCGCTAACCCAGAAATAGTACCTCGGGTTACGAACTTTGCTTCAGGATGAGAACAGAAATCGTGCTCCGGCAGCGCGGCAGGCCCCATTAGCTAAAGTGGTGCTTCAGATTAAGAACAGTTTCAGGTTAAGAACGGACCTCTGGAACGAATTAAGTACTTAACCCGAGGTACCACTGTACAGGATGAACAACTCCAATGGCACCTGTCAAAGTTGGCCAATGGGAGTGGATCCAGATAAAGATCTGGTTCCCAGAGCCAAAAAGGCTCCACTCTTACGTTCTATAGGAAAGGCCTGTTTATGTTTAACATCCCAGAATCAGCAGCCTGCCAAAGCATTTTTGCTTTATTGCAATGCCACACATTAATGCAAACACACACACCCCCAGCCAGGTGATTCCCAAGTCAGAAACATGCATCTCTTAGAATGCACCTTTCTTGGGACAGCCTTAAAAATGTGTCGTTAAGGTTAAGTAACTCCCATTATTCCAAAACAAGGTAAACACACTGTACTGATGGAAATGGAAATTAGGAAAGAGCAAAAGATGCACAGGCACACACTTTTTTAAACATGCGTAAGACAAAAAGTGAATGAGTAACTAACAACTACAGTGATGTACCTGTGCAATAGGACTCTCCTTTACAGGTGGCATTGATGGCTTCCTGGCACTTTTTCTGTGCGCTTTCGAACTGGCATCCTTTACAACAGGGGCTATTGCGATCACTAGGGGATGAGAAGGGAGAAAGAATAAACTTAGACATCTGAATATTCAGGATTACAAACCCAAAGTAGTAGCAGAAAGAAGGGTCAGAAATCTCTCTCTCTCTCTCTCTCTCTCTCTCTCTCTCTCTCACACACACACACACACACACACACACACTGCAGTTCTAAAATATTTATCTATACACTTAATTTAAAGATGCAATCACCAATTACCCCACCAGTAATAAAAAAGAGGCATAATACTTAATTACATCTTTGCTACGAGTTAACCAATAATTCAATAATGCAGACATATGAACTATCAGAGTTTATTCAAAGGACTTGCCTCTTGTTCACTAAACTCATGTCACACAATGTATGTTATTAAAATAAACAGCATCATAAAAGTAAACAAGCATAATCATGTGTTTCCTCAAATATGAAAAAAAAGAAAACAAACTCTCTTGCCAGCCCCCCATTTCCCACCACCACCCCTTTTGTAGGAAATCTCTTTCACCTGCATTTGGCATTTGGCTTCAGCTTGCACTCAGATGTGCAGCAAGGATCAACATGCAGACGCAAGAGGCCTGGGTCACATTCCTCGTCTTCATCCACTCTGGAGTTGCCACATACTTTGTTGTTGCGCTCTTGGAAGCATTCTGGCGCCTTGGCTTCAATAGTCCGAAGGATGGATTCTTTACTGCAGCTTGAAAACATCTGAAAGTGTCGATAAGAAGAGGAAGAAACAAATTAGTGGTGAGAGAGCTACTAATTCAGGATTGTGCGAACCTATATATAATTATTAGTTTTGCCGCACAAGTGCAAAATATGGTACGGAATTCAACTGCCAGAGACTGGTATTTTTTTTTATTCCTTTCTCATCGGCAGCCTTCTTGCCTGGAAATTCAAAGGAAAAGTGTATCTGGTGAGAACTCAAGAAAGCAGAGTAGACTCTTTGGTTGGCATATAACTCCCATGTATACTAGGCCTTAGCCTTCCTCTTCCATCCACAACCTGATCTACAGCTTGACATCTTTTCCTCTGTCCATTCCTTTTCTTAACCTCTGCCACACTGGTCCTTCCTTACAAAATAATTTTTAAAAAAATAGTTTGACAATGCAAATATTAAGTAAAATAACGACCTCCAGGTTCCTTCCCTTTTCCATTCAACACTACCATATGTAGGGAACCAAGTTGCCTACATAGGTTTGTAATATATGCATGCACACACTCATGCGTGCGTGCATGCACGCGCGCGCACACACACACACACACACACACACACACACAGGTAGAGAGAAAAAGAAAGAAAGAAAGATGATTTTAAAAAATACCTTATTGTTTTCATGATCACCACTCACAGCAATTGGGTACATAACATATTTTCCTCCCTGATCTTCGGTAGGGGCACATTCTGGCAAGCCATCAGGATCATGCTCTGCCCCAAAGTTGTGTCCCAGCTCGTGAGTTGTAACCAAATCAGCTTCCTTATAAAAATATATACACAAAAGAAGCATGCTCATTTAGGGAAGTTTTCAATGTTTGATGTTTTATTCTGTTTTTAATCTGTTGGGAGCCACACAGAGTAGCTGGGGCTAACATCACACAGTCTTTTATAGGCTGCCTTTGAGAAGCTAATGAAGTGTGTAGTGCTCTAAATACCTGTATTATAAATGTAAGACTACCAGATAATTTTACTTTAACACAAGAAACGGCCAGATTGCTCACTAGTGGTAGTTAAAGTTCTTCAAATTTTATTGGTGCAGCAAAAGGTGAATATAATTCATAATCATGTCTTCAAGTGGAAGGGGGTGGGCAGTGATGACACAACTGAAAACGGCAGTGTAACACCAGAACTCCTCACTAACCCATGTTAATAAAAGCAAAAAGATGTGTCTAATTGGAGCTAATTAAACAATCCTTTTTGAATTAATACCGGACATGTATGGAGAAAATAAACATTTCAAAGAAAGATGCCCAAAGCTTGCTCTGAAGTGTAAGAGAGAATTTCATCTCACAGCACAATTGGAGAAGGGCCAAGAGACAGATTGACAATGGCACCAAAAGGTCAAAAGCTTTCCAAAGAGGGACAGAATTGCTCACAGAGGTAACTATGGTACTCAAAAATATCAAGCAGGACTTACAGAAAACAAGCTTTGAAACCAACTGAAAATAACCAACTGGACAAATAAAACATAGATCTAATAGGGCATCAACTCAGAAGCTACTAAGGGAATTGTAAGGCATGTTAAGAAACCACTTCCCACAATACCTTTGTAAGGATAGTTTTGCCATAGTTCTTTGTGCTGGTTAAGCCACTGTTGAGGTATACATTCTTTCCAGCATTCGGACTAGGAAAAGCTTTTAAAAAAAAGGTAGAAAATCATGTTACAGCATTTAAGATTCATTTACACACCTTGATAACCTTGCCTGTTGCCTAAAATTGAGAACATCTGCAGTCCTCAGTGGCTTATCAGATTCAGCTGAGATGAATACATTCTCTAACCCTGGTGGCGACCCTATGACATGGGTGGCATTCAGAGCAAGAACTGGACAGAAGGTGAAATGTTCACAAGCAGAGACAGGCCTACATTTGAAACCACCTCTTTTGCAAATTATTGCTTCCTGTCTTAGTAGCCTCAAGGCACAACCCCACCAAGTCACTGGGGAGGAACTGCATGTGTGCATTAAAGCACACTGGAGTGTGTGGACACATACCATGAACTTCATTCTTATAAGCAGTGGCTACGATATGCTAGATAGCTGAAAGACAGACGTTTTGGGGAAATTGAGGTTTTTCTCCAGTTCAAGCCCTTTACCACCACGACCCCCGGGGGAAAAAACCCTCATCTGTATCCTCATTAATGTCTCTTAACAGCATCAGTAACGCACAGTGTTGGACTGGTGATGTACACCAGGGGTCAGCAAACTTTTTCAGCAGGGGGCAGGTCCACTATCCCTCAAACTTTGTGGGAGGCCGGACTATAATTTTTTTTTTTTGGGGGGGGGGAATGAAGGAATTCCTATGCCCCACAAATAACCCAGAGATACATTCTAAATAAAAGGACACATTCTACTCATGTAAAAACACGCGGGCTAGATTTAGAAGGCACTTGGGCCAGATCCGGCCCCCGGGCCTTAGTTTGCCCACCCATGATGTGTCCCACTAACTTGGGTACCATGAATGAAGAAGCTATACTGCAAATGCAATAGGGATGCTGAGCAAAACTCCTGCTCACTAGAACAGCCTCTGGATAAGGAGTAAATCTACAAACCACCAACCCGTTTTAAAAGAGTACATATCCTGGATGTACACTTATCTTTAGGCACTTTGACAAACAATAAGCAAACTTGTTAAATGGGGAAAAAAACATTACCTTTGGGGCAGATGCCTCCATGGCTGGTTGGCCTTTGAGATCCGACATAAGCCAGTCCAAGAGTACCCAGAGCAAAGTCTTGGTAGGTAAAGAGATGCGCAAGGCACACATGAGCAGCTCTGTCTGCTATATCAGCACTGAATTGCTGTGAAGAGGGAAATGTGCCAAACACAGTTTAGAGAAAATTTTTACTCCATAAATGAGACACTGTCGGTTAACAAGCTTTGCAGATTGCAGCATCGTTCAATAGCGATCACCTGGTCCATCATCCTTGTCTAAAAACAGTGACTTGCCCTCAATCATTTTTAAATTGTAGTTACTAACAGGTAGTTTAAAAAAATTCCTGAAATAAAGTACTTGGGTACTTGGAGTCTCCTAGATAAGCCTCTTGGATTAAAATAATTAACGCACAGTATTACTTTTAGCAAGCATGCGGTATTACTTGTAGTAAGCATTCAGTTTATTAGAAAGACAAGCCTTTCTAATAGTGGGGTGCTTACATTGTATCCGGGACGCGGGTGGCGCTGTGGGTAAAAGCCTCAGCGCCTGGGGCTTGCCGATCGAAAGGTCGGCGGTTCGAATCCCCGCGGCGGGGTGCGCTCCCGTTGCTCGGTCCCAGCGCCTGCCAACCTAGCAGTTCGAAAGCACCCCCGGGTGCAAGTAGATAAATAGGGACCGCTTACTGGCAGGAAGGTAAACGGCGTTTCCGTGTGCTGCGCTGGCTTGCCAGATGCAGCTTCGTCACGCTGGCCACGTGACCCGGAAGTGTCTGCGGACAGCGCTGGCTCCCGGCCTCTAGAGTGAAATGAGCGCACAACCCTAGAGTCTGTCAAGACTTGCCCGTACGGGCAGGGGTATCTTTACCTTTACCTTACATTGTATCCATCATAGAACCCACGCAGCCTACCTCCAGCAGCTCCTTCACATCCCAAGCATCCTCACGGTCATCTAGAGGACTTTTTGCCATGTTGTAGTGTCTTTCCCCGGAACGTACAGGTTGTGACTCATTGTGAACAATAATCTAGATTCAAAAGATATATAAATAATTTAAGTAATTTAGTTCAGATGCCTCAGTAAGCAATTTTTTTGATACACACACTGCTTTCTCCTTATAATTCAGATGGTTCAGAAAATTAGCTCAGAATTCTGCTTACGCTGTGCACCTAATAAGCATGCCGTTAAATGGAATCAGTGCAGAATGCACCTTAAACTTACTGTAAGTTGAACATCCTAGTTATAGGCAGAAAATTTTGACTATAAATGGGGGGGGGGGAGTGCATGGAAAGCTGCCCAGAATTTCCAGTAAACCAGAAGTTGATGCAACTTTGTATAATTAAACATATCAAGCAAAAAATTGCGATTTACATCATTCGTGTGTACCATCAGAACTGGATTTCTCTTGATGAAGAATTTTATCAATGACACTCTAGCCTGCTCTTCTGTACTACTATTGACTATGTTTTCATAAGGTCCATTGCATTCAATGGTGTGCGTACGTATACACACACACACACACACACACACACACACACAAATACACTGTGATCAAATCTGAACATTATCCGAAGAGTATTTTCTAAATACCTGATCTATCTGTATGCCATAATCTTTGAAGTCTGCATTATCCCATGATGTATTTCGATAGATGTCATCCACTCTGTCTATTAATTCAATCTAGGCACAGAAAAGGGAGAAGTTATTCAGATCCAGTCTCTTGTCAGTAGATTCTGAAACATATTTTAACACTTGAAAAGAAAAGAAAAACCCAAGGGAAGCTTTCAAGGAGCTTTGAAAGAGGTTTCCAAAGTTCTGTACAAGGGGTGGGGAATCTGTGGCACAGATTGATACAATTCCCATCATTCCTGGTCATTGGCTATGCTGGCGGGGGCTGATGGGAGTCGGAGACCAACAATATCTGGAGCGAGCCAGGTTCTCCACCTCTGATTTAGTAGGCAATACTGCCAATGTTGTTGGTTTGGGGGGGGGGAGTGGAAGAGGATAAAATTAAAGCAACATGTGCAACCACCATGATCGCTTCCTTTCAGAATACACATTGTTATGATATTTTAAACTGCTGTTCAGCATTTGGAGAGCCCTTCAGGCTAAAACACATTATACAAGATAGTGGGAGGAAACAGCAAATCAAATTGGATCAACAGTATCCCCAAGTAACAAAACAAAAAAAATTCCTTCCAGTAGCACCTTAGAGACCAACTAAGTTAGTTCTTGGTATGAGCTTTCGTGTTTTTAGTTTAGTAGTTATTTATTGCAATTATTAAGAGCGATTTTCAATTTAATTATTATTTGCTGATGCTTTGAGAGTTTAATTTTATTATGTACTATTCTAATATAATAGATTATTGATTATTACTTTTATTCCATATACAGTGGTGCCTCAGGTTATTAACTTAATTTGTTCTGGAGGTCTGTTCTTAACCTGAAACTGTTCTTAACCTGAGGTACCACTTTAGCTAATGGGGCCTCCCTCTGCTGCCGTGCAACCACCAAGTGATTTCTGTTCTCATCCTGAAGCAAAGTTCTTAACCCGAGGTACTATTTCTGGGTTAGCGGAGTCTGTAACCTGAAGCGTCTGTAACCCGAGGTACCACTAAGTTGTTCCATTTTAAAGTTATGCTTCATTGTGACTTTTTGTATTGGATCAGATTATTATACGGTGTGTGTTCCTTGTTGCATATTTTGTTGCTGCAAATCGCCTTGTGCATAGTAATATAGAAAGGCGGTGTACAAATTAAAAGCGAAATGAAATTATTGCACTCTACCCCAAATCAGGCTTTACACAAACACACCCATATCCATAAAATAATACTTAAACATACTCTTCTTATGTCTAACAGTGACATTCTATTAGCTCTCTAACTACAACAGAGGTTTTTTTGACATATTTCATCAAGGAATCAAGAGCAGACAATAACACTTACCAAATAGTTAATTGTAGTACTTTCCTCCCCACGGCCCATGTTCTTAAAGAAGCGATAATCTGCCACCACCAATATCCTGCAGGTGTTCTTCAAGGGGTCTGGGGTGGCTCTTTTTCTTCGAGGGACATCTGCTATTGTGACAATTAAAGAGATACCAAGTTGCTGTCACCATTTAAGACCTGTTTATGTTGAATTGAGTACAGTGGTGCCTCAGGTTAAGTACTTACCGTAATTCATTCTGGAGGTCCGTACTTAACCTGAAACTGTTCTTAACCTGAAGCACCACTTTAGCTAATGGGGCCTCCTGCTGCTGCCGCGCCACCCCAAGTGATTTCTGTTCTCATCCTGAAGCAAAGTTCTTAACCTGAAGCACTATTTCTGGGTTAGCGGAGTCTGTAGCCTGAAGCGTATGTAACCCGAGGTACCACTGTATTACATTAACAGATTATCTTTAAAACCTGTGCCGTATACAAAGTAATTATTTAGCTTCAGTGTTGTAGAAAACAAGGAAACACGTAAATCAAATATAGGGCAACATCGCAAAGCACTTCTGTGGAACCTAGGGCCCCGTTAGGATTTTCAGGAGACATACTGTGTCTTTGAGATTATTTACATTTTTTTAACATGTTGAAAATATCCAAATGTAAGAGGATAAATTTCAATTATACATACCTCTGAATGTTTGTTTTTATTTTTTAGCGAAACTAAATGACTGTATTAAAACAACTTCCTTGATAATTTCAATGTACCATATAACATTACTAAATAAATTTTAATAGGAGAAAGATCTCCTTAACTTATGCTTTCAGGAAATGATTTTATTTGCTGAATCCGGTACGTTGTTCAACATTATTTTTATTTTATTTTTTACAAACTAAAGGACTGTGATGTATTTTTAAAAAGCAATCACATAACACCATAGCCTGGAAAAGAGCTCTCAGTTCTTAATACACACCGGTATATTTCTAAAGAAGTACTAATTTTTAAATCTCTCTCTTACTGTATCATAAAGAAGGCCAAAGGCAGCAAGTCCATTTATTATTATTCTCATTATTTATTCATTTTTTTATACGGAAATAATTGCTTTGCTTAAGTGTAAGGAAAAAGCTCTCTCTCCACATCAAAGAGTCAGAATATTCTGGTTTCTCTTCAGATCGTATAAATCTTTGACCCTAATCGTTTTTAATGCCTGTCTTAAATAAAAATTACATATAAGTCTCCTTCAGTGTGCTAGGAAGTATGCATTCTGTCTCTTCGGTGTCCATAAGACTCACTTCACTACATACATTAATGTACAGTGAAAAATTCTAGTTCAATTGCGAAAGATTATTGCAAGCAGTTTAACACTCACCTTTATTTAATTTACTCTCCTTCAGCCCTCCACCCAAAAGCTCCTCCTCCTCTTCCATTTTAACATAGCCACATACTTTTGGGGACTGCAATCGTGAGAAATCCTTGATGTCTTCTGATCTGTAGACCAAAAGTCTTTCATCTTGTGTATTATTGAGAAACCTCCACAAGGGCTACAGGTAGAGAAACAGATGTCTAAGTATGTCTTTCACAGTGTGATCCTATACATGTCTTCTTAGAAGGAAGCTCCCCTGAGTTCAATGGGACTTATCCCCAGATATATATTTGTATATAGGACTGCAGACTAAATAGATTAGTTGACCAAAAGGCCTCAGTTCACCAGCCTCAAGGAACAGCACAGTCAGTACATAAACCAAATGTAAGTTTTGCCTGCATATGTAGTATTTCACATGAGCATCCCAGTCAATATGGCTGTTTCTATCAGTCCACAGAGCCACAGACAGTTGGCAGAAACATTTGACATAGGGTTAAAACGAACAGCAATTCCATCCCTAGAAATATTAAACAACGGGAAGCAACCTGACTGAAAGTTCATATTGTCTGCATCTAGATTCCAATAAAGAGGTGTACCTCAACATTATATTCTTCTTCATCAGTGTTGATCCTCACTGTGAAGTCGTCTTCACCTATGTGTGCTGTAACTTTGGAGTTGCTCTGACCTGAGGAAAAGAGAGAGGAAAGAAAACTTGGGTACGAACCCAGAGCATCAGCTGTAACATTTAACAACCACTTCCTCCTAGTCACAAGCATATCACTTCACATCTAGCCACACTCATTCCATGAATCAAATGACTTCCGACATCTTTTTGTCCTTAAGAAAAACAGTGCATGCACAAATATATACTAGAGACGATAGCATTTCAGATCAATTTTTCAAGAATTATTATTTAAACTTCTGAGGTTCTGATTCACACAGATCATCTGCCAACTAGCCCCCAAAGGATTATTTTAAATAGGTATAAACTCATTTACTTCTATGTGACACCATTTGTAAATAGTCTGATTAGTTTCCTTAAAACCAATAACAATGTCCGAAGTTCTCATGTTAATATAGAATGCCAGTTCGAGATCTAATTCAACACTTCTTTATGACAATACAAAAATCCAGTAATATTCGCCCCACCCCAACGAAAACAACTTATTATACTCACCTACAACATGTCCTGTGAAAAATTCCTGCCACTGTACTTGATATTCAGTTTCCTTGCCTTGGCCATTCACTATAAGTGCTTGAAAGTTTTTGGGGAAATGGTCCGCAGTTGAAGTTAAGTATAATTTAAAATGCCTGTAAAAGAATTTGCTTCCATTTAATTTTGAGATTTATATCAGCTATATATTTTTAATGTATCCGAACACATTGAGGTATTACATTTGGTGTTCAAATACATTTAATGGCTCCAAATACACTAGGATATTACATTTGGTATCAAGTTGAGCTTGAGAGGTGCTTTGAGTCCCTGAGGCTCAGCACAGCTGTGAGGCCGAACCCTTGCCCCCTTTCCTAGCTCTGAGGCACCTTGAGTCTTTGGACTCAGCCATACAGCTGCAATTAAAACGTTTTAAGTGTGTTTTAAGTACAATATACAATGTGACACTAGATAGTGATGGTGAGCCTTATGGAAAATTCAATGTAGTTTTAAAAACACTTTTTTTTTTAAAAAAAAGGTTTTTTTAATGTGTGTGTTGATTCTACCTACTATGTTTGTTCAAGGGGAGTGCTTAATGCTCTAAAATTCATACATAATACAAATTGAACAATTTTGCTTAAATACATTGTATGTGCTGAAGTGGAGAGTAGATTTATAAAAGAGAGCAGTAGCTGCTGATTGTAATGATTCCACACTCTTAGTTCTTTCTTCCTCTTTGAAGATTTGGTGTTCAGAAACCCCAATTACCACAGTTGCTCCTGTGTATAGCTATTCTACTTTCTCAAAAAAGTCAAATGCATAAGAATTGGTAAACATTCAATAATAAGGGAACGGACACCTTTCTTGGGGCAACTGTACACTACAGAATTCTAATGATAATCTGAATAAATTTGTTGATCTATAGGCCTCCCAAGAATGCAAACAAAAGCCAATTACTGAAATTAAAGCAGAACTGAGAAAAAAGCATGCGGAAAAAGAGAAAAAAACATAGAAATCAACAATTTAAAGGGAATCAGTAAGATAATATTAAGTCAAACTTCTCACTAAAGATGCCTCACCTATGCAATGCTGAAAAACTTATGAGTTTCTCTATATGGGATTCTGGTTGCAGGTCTCTTTTTCTTACTGAGTGCTGTTGGATGTTTGACACTGAAAGAATATCATAGTCTGAGAGAACAGATTCCAGATTCTCTGTGGGGAAGAAATAGAAGGCTTAACAAGAGAACAGCTAGAAAAATGTCCTTATTAGATGTAATAAAAAGACAAGAATTCCCACCATATCAATCAGCCATGGCATGCCTCAAGCTCACCCACTCCACTGTCGCCCTACTGCTTTTGCACACATGAAGTAGGCGCTCAGAACTTTAGCTTCCAATTTTAAATGAACCACAGCTCTCCATTATGTTTGAATTTGAGGAGCTAAACTTGAGGGATTTTCACTCTATTTCATGAGAAGCAACAATGATCAAATTGTGGCTTCTGATCCTGGTTCACTACCTAGAGCTTAAGTAATGCACAGCTTCTCAAGTTAAGATGCAGTGGGGAACTGTGGTTTGTTGAAAAACAAAGTAGAAGTTTACAAGCACCTCCTTGCAGCCATAAGAGAAGAGAGGGGAAGAGGAAGTGGAAATATGTAACCTGAGCCTGAGATTTGCTATGGCTTGTTCATATAGCAGGAAACTATGGTTTCCATTTATGTCCAAACAGAGTCATAAAATTTGTTATTTTTTGGATTCCCCTTTCCCACTACTTAAATAGTGAACCATTTCATCATTCCAGTCATCAAGTTCCCCTGGATAAAGCATTAGTCTGAATCAGTGACTCAGAAATATAACCAGAGGTTTCTAATAAGATTCAAATTGATTCTATAGGCAAGAAAAATCCTGGTGAGTGTGGATTACTATACTGTAGCATAAAAATAAAACAAAATACATCCATTGAAAAAATGCAGATAGATAGATAGATAGATAGATCCACAAAGAGCTGAGGATACACATTCTAATGCATAGCTTTTATCAATAAAGATGTACTAATTCATCTCTCTCTAGTCTATGCCATCTAACCCACTTTCTTCTCCATTTTTCACAAAGCAAGAATATAACCTACCGTACTAACAAATTGATCATAAACAAGAACAATAAAACCTAACGCTTGACACTTTGCTGGTGTTCATTGTGGATAGATATTTTCATTGTGAGGGTTAAAAATATGCAAGAAACTTAGAATCAGCCTATTAGCAGAAATGTTCAACTTCTGTTAAACCCCAAAGGTATTTATGCAAATTACACGTTCAAAGATTCCACTTTGGCCATCCACATCATTAACCAGCCTTTGCCAAATGTGTTACTAAGCCTGCCACTGCTTAACTGGCCATCAATCTCTGTATTTAAGCGGCAAATATTAACATCAGAGTTATCCCATTTACACATTATTCCAATTAGTGTACATAAGTACTACAAAAGGCAAGTTTAGAGCCATCATCAGCCCTCACAACCACACGTCTTTGTATCTAAGGTAGATAGTATCTAGTTAGGATCTAGAAGTCTCCAGAAAGGCTGATCTATGTCAAGAATCTAAGTCCAGGCAACCACCCCAAGTTAAAGTAGTACACACTTTCAAAATCCATCTTCCACATGCCTATAGTATCCCAAGACCAAAAATATGCCCAAGACTGAAAACCTGATCAAGAAACTACTTGTCATTAATCATAACCTACACTGAGACACGTTAATGACTTATTTACATCTGTTCCGAAGAGCAGCAGTATTTAGATCAGTTCAACTGAAAAATCTAACCATTTCTAACCTTTCCATAACAGTTGGCATTTACAAAAGTAATTGCAAATGGCTTTTATAAATGTTTGCTTGTTTAAACCACTAATACGTAAGGCAAACAAACACATTACGTAAATAAATTAAAAATGTGACATTTAAAATCAATTTGTTTCCATTTATTTTCTGTCCATTTCAGGTATAACAACTGCTGATTTATTACTGCAAGCATAACATTTTAATATTATTTTCAAGGGAAGCAGTTATTTTTAGAATTCAACAACTGGACAAAAGGAGAGGGATATACATTTAGCAGCAGCATATTGAATGCTTTTATTGACACACACATTGACCTCTGTGTTAGCATTTCTTCATATCATTTAATATATTTAAATGTTTAGATTATACAAAATAATGTCCAAAACTTCACTCCCAGGGAGAAGGTCATGCTAAAGCCTATGGCCAACATGCTAACACTGAGAGCATTCAAATCAGCCACTTACAACCTCCAGTCAAAAATGGTCCCGTCAAGCAGCAGCACCTGAGTTTTGCAGATTGCATAGCTCAGCTCTAAATAGTCTGAACAGTCATTATTTTATTTAAGATTTATTACCCACCCTCCAACTTAAAGTCTCAGAGTTGGTTACAACAATACACAAATCTAAAAACAGGGGAAGCCATAAATCAAGCAACACCATATTCCAAATGGAGCAGAGCAGTATAAAACAAGCAAGAGAGGTGGGTCCAGCAAAACAAAAAACTTTAACTGTCAAAGGCCAGGGGAAAGATAATTTAGAGAATGCCCTTGCATTCACGAAATAGTGCCTGTTTTTCTTGTGTGGAATATTTTCCCCAGGTCTTTTTATTCCAAGCAAGCCCAGAAATAGGTGCTTTAGAAGTCAATGATTTTATTCTCAAGAGAGTTGTGTGGAAACCACATGCCCAAGAAGCATGATGTACACATAACGCAAGTTGTTATACTGGAAGTTATGGCAAAACCAGGAAATGAAACCAGACACTCCACACCCCATTCCAGAGAATTTTTTTAAAGTAATCAGCTACCAGGATTTGCTCCTACAACTGCCTGTCTATTCCTTCCCACAAAATGGGAATACACTCAAGAGCACTAAAAACATAACGTTCTATGAATATATGTGGCTGCTTTATGCCAAATCAGGTATTTTTTCCACTTAACCCAGCATTGTTTGTCAGCAGCTCTCCCAAGTCTTTGTCAGTCTTTCCCTGCCTTGTGAGACAATGTTCTTCTAAACTAGACTACGCTTCCTCAAACTTGGCCCTCCAGATGTTTTTGGCCTACAACTCCCATGATCCCTAGCTAGCAGGAGCAGTGGTCAGGGATGATGGGAATGGTAGTTTCAAAATATCTGGAGGGCTGAGTTTGAGGAAGCCTGTTCTAAACAGCGCCACCGGTATCAAACTGAGAACTTCTGCATGCAAAGTTAGATGCTCTTCCACAGAGCTAGTGGCACTTCAACATTGCTTCAGTGTATTGCTGCATGCGAAATTAGGAACTACAAGTGTGAAGACAGTACTGACAATAAAGAGAAAAATTGACTGCAACTTCCTTTCCCTGCCCCGAAAACGGAATGAGCATTTTTTTTTTGTAGGCTGCAATCCAGTGTCACCCCACTCCCCACATGCAGATACAAAATTGAAGCTCTTAGGTGATGAGGGACAGCTGTTCATCACATGGCCACCACTTGCCTCTTACCACAGGAAAAGAGTAGTGCTTCCAATCTTCAGGGGAAGAAAAGAGTGTCATTGTTATACAGCCCAAATGACACCACACACACACACACACACACACACACACACAAGCAGGTAACAAGAGAGTAGAGTGAACTCCCAAGGTATACAGATAAGTACAAAATATATTTAAGAAAAGGGGAGGAGTAAAAGAAAAACAACCCAAAAAGCTGTTCTACTTGTGCTGGAGCGAAAGAGCAGGGAGCAAATGCAGTATGAGCCACATTTTGACTGTTATAGCCAAATGAGCATCCTGGCTCTTGATTATGAGTGCAGGGAGGAGGAGGAAGCAGCAACAAGAGGCAGGAGTGGTGAAGAAGGGAAAGCTGAAATGGAAAGGACAGTGAGAGGTGGGGGAGAAGCAAGGAAGGAAGAACAACTTGGAATATGCATAGGCTTCTTTCTGCAACATTGTTCAGATTTATTCTGCTTTGCATCACTTTCAAACAGCATGCAGCTTTGATACAGTAGCATCTCCAAACTTCTTTGTAAATGCAACAAATGTAAAAATCCCGTGCTATATTTAATATAATAGTTATAGTTATAATAGGAACACGGAGGAAAGGAAAGCAGAGGAAAGGAAGCGGCAACAGAATAAAGAGGGGAATGACAAGAAAGGAAACAGGAGCCAAGCGGGGAGCGGAGATGGAACCTAGAGACAGAAGTGAGCATTTGCATGCCACATAGGTACATATCTGGGGCAGAGTGTCTTTAGCACCTTGCCTGCTTGGCAGCCATACAGAAATCTGCACCTAGTTTTCCTTCCAGAGCTACCCCTAGCTGGGGATCCCCTTGACTTGGCAGCCTCTAGCCTCCCTGATAATCACCAGGGGTTCAGAAATAGCTATTAGGGGGTAGATTCCTATTTCTCTTTTCCATCTTTCAAAGCAGCTTGGTCTGCTTATTTCCTCAGCCTCACTGATCCATTTTGTTTTGTGTTCACCTCCCCCCCCACACACTTCTGCCCTCACTCCCCACCCCAAATCCTTACTATCCCCCTCTCTGCTGCCCCCTCTCCCCACCCCTCAGCTACCACATCATCACCCTAGAGCTAGGAAGTCGCCACACACTGGAGCCAGTTGCCAGTCAAAGGAAATTCTCCTTCCCCTGCTCCTAACAATTCCTTCTCCTCCTTAGGAAAGATAACATCCTGGAGAAGGAGAATGCTGGGAGTTCAAATAAGAGCACTCCTGTTAGAGGCAAAGATACATAGCAACCTTTCATGAACAGTACCAGTTGTAGCCTCTATTACTCATCCATTCATTCATTTGGGAAGAGGATTATTACAACATCCCTGAATTTCTCATAGGTTATAAATAATCAACTCATCACAGGCCCCAATTTCTACACACAATTCACTCACCATCTGCTATGTGGGATACAAATGTAAGTGATGATTCTGAATTGTACATTATTTAAAACATCAATTGTCATTTATCAACAAGAAATTCTACAGTGTATGAAAGTGTGATTATTTATTCACTGAAAATTCTAGGATGGTTTACACTGTTTTCCATAAAAACAAGACATGCCAATTTTACATGCAGGGCTGGACCTTGCCTGAAACCTAGTGGGAAATGATCCCAAAGGTTGTACACCACTGCAGAGAAAGCCCTTCCTCTGGTTGTTATCTGATAAGTTATGCAGGCTGCAGGACAACCAGGAAGGCCTGCTCTAGTGATCTCATAGAACGGGCAGGCCTATACAGGAAAAGGCATGCTCTTAAGTAACCCAGTCCCAGGTTGTTCAGGGCTTTATATGACAGTAACATCAGTTTCAACTGACCCTGGAGCAAATTGGAAGCCAGTGTAATGCTTTAAGCCAGGTGTGTCCAACAGGTAGATCATGGGGTATTCCTGGTAGATCTTTGGCCCCTCAGTGATCTCCTTCACAACCCCCCCCCCCAAAAAAAAATGAAAGCTCCACATCTCTGGCTTTCCCAAAAAAGCTCCACAACTTTGGCTTCCTAAAAAAAGCTCCACAACTGTGTTCCAACCAACGACAACGGGTAGATCACTGCCAGTTTTTTTTATACTGTGAGTAGATTGCAGTCTATTGGGAGTTGGGTGTCCCTGCTTTAAGCAATAGGGGTAACATCCTCACAGCTGGCTGATCTAGTCAGTAACTACACACTGTGCCAGTTACAACTACCAGAACAACCTCAATAAAAGCCCCAATTAGAGCACTTTATTAAAGTTACCAATAGTGAGGTTATCCTGGATGAAGAACTATCATAGCTGGAATATCAGCCAAAGCCAGTAGAGCGCACATAGCACCACTGTGGCCACTTGGACCTCCAGTGACACATGTGCCTGAACCTTCAGGGGCGTGTAACCCCATCCAGAACTGGCAATCTGCTCAGTTCCCATACACAGCCACCCCTCCAACAAGAGCTCGGTCTTGTAAGGATTCAGTTTCAAGCTTAAGGGCCTTTATTCTGCCCACCACCCATTCCAGGACCTGGTTCAGGACCTGTGTGACCAAATCCAATACAAATATAACAATGAGAGCTTAGCAGTACTATATGCAGCCACAGTTCTTGACTTAGTAATAGTAGTCAAATACAGCAACACTTTCTGAGCAGCCCCTTCCTCTGTACAATAACCTTTTCCTCCCACAAAGCACTGAGGCAAACCAGGAACTTCCTCACAGGCTTAACACTACAGTTAATTAACATTCATGCAACATCAGCACTGTGTATCTTTCCTTCCATGCTCCCAGAACAGGGAAAAAGAACATGTGCCCTAGAGAGACATGGTTGGACTACCACTCCCACTGCCCCTAGCCATTGGTCACGCTGGCTCTGGGGGGGTTGATGGAAACTGGCAGTCCAACTGGCATCCAGGCAGCAACTTGTTTCCCCAGCCCTGCTCTCTTTCCCAAACTTGGGTGCCCAGCTGTTTCGGAACTGCAATTCCCATCATCCCCTGACCGCTGGGTCCTGCTAGCTAGGGATGATGGGAGTCCCCAAAACAGCTGGAGACCCACGTTTGGGAAACCCTGCTCTAGTGCAATCAGCTTTAAGATTGGCTGGGGTTTTCCCCCTCCCCACCAAACCGAAAGAACTGAGCAGCTTCTCAGTTTGCAGAGTTTCCAAAACCCAGTCACTACACCCACTATATGAATTCAGCAACGGGGTGTGGGGGGAGTGGGGAGAAAAAAAGACTCAGGCTGCAAACCTTAGGCACGCCAAACCTGGGAGCAAGTCCCCACTGAACGAACTGGGGCTTACTTCCGAGTAGGCATGTTCAGAAGTATGCGACCTGCCCACCCCAAAGCCCCAACAAAGACACCTCGGATGCTGGGCTTTCCTTCTCCAGCGCGCTGCTTTCGGAGGGCAGCCTGAGACTCTCCCAGCACAAACCCCGCCAAACACAGAAGGGTTCCTTCATTTTAAATTTTCTATTAACTGAAGAGAGATAAGTGGAAGGGGGAGGGGAGCAGGTCTGGCTGGCGGCGCCCCCCCCCAGTTTCCCCCCCGCACCCTGAAAGTGCCTGGGGGAAAGAAGGGTCTATGGAAGTCCGCCTCTCTCTCAAATAACTCACCGTATCGCGGCGGCCGGTGCCTGCCCCGGTGCTGTGGGGCGGGCCGAGGGGAAGGGGCGGCCGGGTGCCTCAGCGCCCCCAACTCAGGAGCCCCGAAGACCAACAGGAGAAGGAGCAGGGCGGGGAGCGGGAAGGAGGTCGGCGGCGCCCGGCGCCTCATGGCTCTCCTCCTCCTCTAGCAGAAGGGAACCGACGGACAAGCCCTTCCGTTCCCTCTTTCTCTCACATAAGTTTCGGTCCTCTCGCCCTCTTTCTTCTCTCTCAGCGATGCCCAGCTGAGGCCGCCGCCGCCGCCCCGAGTCCGGAAGAACCGCCCGGCCGCCTGGGCCTCCCGCTGAGCATTATGGGCGCGCGAACGCCGGCCGCCATCTTTGTTCCGCTCCGGGAGGCGCTTCGGAGGCCGAGACGCGGCCTTGTCACGCCCTGAAGCGCCGGCGGCGTTTGCGCTCTTCCTTTCCGCGCCGGCCTTGGGGTGCGGGAGAAAAGCCTCTTTAAAAGCTGTGGCGCGGCAGGGAAAAATCGGCCAGATGCGTGCCTCCCAAGCAGAGGAAAGGACTGTTTAGGGAAGTTTTTTTTATATTTAATGCTGTACTGTTTTTATCATTTGATTGGGGGCCGCCCAGAGTGACTGGGAAACTCAGCCAGATGGGCGGGGTATAAATAATAAATTATTATTATTATTATTATTATTATTATTATTATTATTATTATTATTATTATTATTCCCGGTTGCTTGGGTTTTTATTTTCGTGCAGAGACAGAAACTAAGGCCGGAGAAAAGGTGGCAAATCTACAAGGACAGGGACCGGTGTGTGTGTTGCGTCTGCCTAGCTCAGCCTTACCAGGAGAAGCGGATCGCGACCCCCTGCACATTTACTCTGGAGAAAGGCCCGCTCCCCCAAGTGCCTGCTCTCTAGTAACTCTGTGTGTTTAGGAGTGCAGCTTTAAACGGGATCTAGAGCGCATTTCCGAGGGGCTAACTGTTGACTGCACGGTTGGCAAATCCAGTGGTTTTTGTTTTCGTCAGCTGTGCTCATTGCGCCCCCCTCCTGTGAGTCTATTGCTTTTTAATAAATAAATGAAAACATTAATAATAATAATAATAAACCTTTATTGTCACTACACCACCTGTGTGCACTGCAATTAAATGGACTCGTGATAATGCTTTATTTATTGTATGTTCATATTCTTAGCCACCTTGGACATTTTCTTCTAAAGAAAAGGAAGGAATAGAGGGATGCTTTTCTGCGTGTGAATTATTGCTATTCCCATTAATAAGAGACAGGGACTCTCCAGGAAGGTAGACTTATTCAAGAACGCTAGGTTAAGTCATGAGTTTTTTCCCCATGACTGAAAAACAAGATGTTGAGGCAGGAAAAAAAACCCCAGAGGGCAGTCTGCAAGGAGATGGTGTAACTTTTTCCATATCCCAGGGACTTTTCAAGTTCCTCCCCCATCTGGACCGGTGGGTGGAAAAATACTTTTGTTATGAAGGTGTAAATCTTCCAATGTTTTCTTCATCCAGGCAAACGTAGGATTGGGAACAAGCATTTAAAGAGATGCCATCCAGTTTTGTCCATGCGCAGCCCCTCCTAATGGGTGGATAAATACTGTCCTATTTTAGATTCCCCCCCCCATGTGGCTAGCAGAGTGGGAAACTAGGATGAGACTAGTGATAATACCGTTTCCTTCTTCCCTCTCCCAATTAGCACCTCCTCCTTTTCTACCCATTACTCATTGCCACTCTTCTCATTTCTGCACAGGCAGCCACCCAAGTCATTCAGAGAAAAGAGCATCCCTTACCCATTCCAGACCACGTGTGAGACCTATAGCAGCATCTATGAAACGTGGAAAGCTGCAGTTGCCACAGCTTTGTTACATTTTTGTTCTGTCACATTTTTTGTTCCATATGCCTTCTTAAATGAAAAATTATGCACACAGGATATTTTGCTTACACATGTTCCCAAGTTACATTTCCTTCCTCAGCAAGAAAGGTATGAGAGACCTTTTCATGCATAGCATGAAGAGTTACTAGGCCAGAAAGAATATAAAATGGCAAGTAATTACATATGGTTGGAAGCAAGCAAATAAAGTTGTTACTGTAGGAATAAGATAAGGAATGTGATAAATATATTGGGGATGGGAGTAACCAGGTAGAGGCATAATTTCCTAAGAACTGTGTTCTTTCTGCCCTTTTAATTCTAAATATATAGACAGTGCCACAACTTTTCCCACTTCATTATTAACAGAACTCATAAAAAATAGTACTGAAGCTCTTCCAATTAGTCATCGGCACTTTCCTGTTGTCAATTATTCTTAGAAGGGTCACTAAGTTATAGCTGTTGATAGAAATGATAACTTCCCCTGCCCAATCACAGATAAATTTCAGCATTCGGAAGAGCCAGGAGTTACGACTGTTCCTCAAATTCCAGGTTGAACACTTCACCTTGTGAAACTGGTGTAATCATTTTGAACAGCTATTTGCCTTCATTACTAACAGTGCACTAGATACTCAGCTCTAGTGGTTGCCCTTTCCTTTAAATTAGAATGGGCTACCTAGAACACGGGACACGGTTGGCGCTGTGGGTTAAACCACAGAGCCTAGGACTTGCTGATCAGAAGGTCAGCGGTTTGAATCCCCGTGACGGGGTGAGCTCCCGAAAGCATGTCAAAGTACAAGTAAATAGGTACTGCTCTGGCGGGAAGGTAAACGTCGTTTCCATGCGCTGCTCTGGTTCGCCAGAAGCGGCTTAGTCATGCTGGCCACATGACCCGGAAGCTGTACGCCAGCTCCCTCAGCCGATAAAGCGAGATGAGCGCCGCAACCCCAGAGTCAGCCATGACTAGAGCTAATGGTCAGGGGTCCCTTTACCTTTTACCTAGAACAGAGGCCTCAAGGTTATTCTCCACTTTGGCTTTTGGCACAGAAACTTGCATTTCCATTGAATCTGTTTTGGTAAAAATCAACAGTGCCACCTGCTGGCTGTCACAGAATGATCAAAGAGGTTCACTTCACTGTTCCTGTTAAAAATTGGGAGCTTCTAGAGATTTCTACCTTGATCACCACATAACATTCCTAGCCTTTTAGGCATAACAGCTTCACAACTGCCACAAGTTTACATTCTTGCTGCCATCTAATTTTTTTAAGGATGTGGTGAGGCATGAGTGAGGGCACTCTACTCCTAAATTAGATTTATAAACTCAAGATTCTAATCAGAGGTCATGGTCAAGGTTGCTGCTTGTAGGTTCCCATCCAATTCAGAAGCCGCAGCACAGGGGTAAGCCGCCATGTGTGGTCTGGTAAGGTCTGGGTTACTAGTCCTGGAGGGGCAAGATTTGGAAAACCTTACACAGAAGATGGGGAAGTGAAAAACAACCTTTTCTTTGGAAGCAGTTTTGCTTCACCATTAATGACAGCTCAAAGGTATTCAAAGGAAGTGGTGACGGAAAATGAGCAAAGGACTCATTTGTTTAACTACTGAGAAGATTCAGTGTATACTGTTAACAGGAGGCAACCCCCAAGCATCACCTACTTTATTAAGCAAGCATGTACAGGATAATATCATTATTCCCATTTTCTACAATACATGCCACTTAGTAGTGGAGTGTTACGCCACAAAACTTGACAAAGCTTCCTCATCCCCACTTGTCATAGCCATCATCAACACCAAATATGTGGATTCCACCAATATGTTAAACTTCACCTGCTGTTCTACACTGTAGCAGTCACTTAAGTACACTTAAAAGTGGTGGCACAATTTCCCTGTGTACAGCAGCACACATTAGTGACTCCAGCATATGCTATAGCCATTTGGCCCACTATGGAGGGGTGTGGTCACCGATGATAGATTCTCTGTAAGTTTATCATTTCATGCATGTAATTTCTAAACCTTTGTTTAACCATTCCCAAGCTCCATTAATTTGTGGCTCTCCTTAGAGCAACCCTACAAATGTAATACCTTAACATGGGAAGCACGGTTTGTGATTAATCTGCCATTAATCTGCAGAGGGCCTTCTCAGTAGTGGCGCCCTCCCTGTGAAACAGCCTTGATGTTGAGATAAAGAACTACATAACTTTTAGAAAACATCTGACGGCACCCTGCATTGGGAAGTTTTAATGTCTGATGTTTTACCATGTTTTTATATATGCTGTAGGCCACCTAGAGTGGCTGGGGAAACCTAGCCAGATAGGCAGGGTATAAAGAATAAAATAATTATTATTATTTGTAGCCTGCCTACCAAAGCAAAATTGCTCAACTGGAAGCCCAAGTGAAGCAACTAGACACAATATGGGAAAGAAAGGGAATGTTGCAAGTATTCCTTTTCTGAAAATACTTGTCTTTAGAATACTGGCACCTGACTGAGATGACAAAGGGTGTTAAAGAACATAGGTAACAAAAGCTGAAGAGAGTTGCAGTGAGGTTTTGGTCCCAAAACAAACAATATACAGGACACAGGATATTTGCCTGTGCAAGTATTGCATGCACGTAGAACCTTTCACAACCTGATCCCACATTAACATGGAGAGCACCGCTTCTTACCTTGCTCACAAAAGAGCAGGCATAGAAAACCAGGGTATTTTCCTTCAACAGAATAAGCTTCCCCCCAGTCCTCCCATTTTACCTTTGAAAGGCAGAAGGAATACATATTTGTAGCTTTAGCTTTGGGCTCACCCAGCTATTTGGTTCAATGCAGTTTTGTTCTTACAGGTTTAAATTATATATGTTCACCACCTTGAGTGTATTTGCAAGGTGGCCGATTAGCAGTCTTAATAAAATTGAGCGCCTAGCAACAAAGATCCAATCAGCTGCACAGCCAGCATGGCAAAACTATGTGGTCAATGGTCCAGCACACCAAATGCAAGTGCATGCGGAACGGTCTTGGGATAAGCATTTTCCCCATGACCTGAGTTCTGCCTGTTTTACACCACGGTATGTTTGTCTGTTAAAAGCTACTTTTAGAAATGCTTCCATTTATGGTCCAGGTGATTGGTCTGATGCTGGAGCATTCCTAAAGCTTATTAAATGTGGCTCTAGGTAGGAAGCCCCTGTTAAAGCAGGTGGTATTTTCAGAATGCTTCAATTTACCATATGAATACCTCTTGTAACAGTAGAATTGCAATGCACTATATATATGTAAGAGAATGCATGCTGTATGTTAAAAACTTTAGTGAATGCAGAACATCTCACTTCATGCCATGCATCAGAAGTGCGCGCACACACACACACACACACACACACACAATGCAAGCATTACAGGTTTGAAAACTGTTCAGTTACAGCATAGTAAAACAGTTTAGATAGGATTTATTCCTAGACGAAGCTGCATGCAAATGTTACAAAGCGCAACAGTTTAGTGGTTTATAAAATGTAATTTTATTTAATGTTATTTTGTTACATAGGGCATTAACATTTTCACAAGGCTTTTTTGGGACTACAATCAATGATTAGCAACACACAATAGTGGTCCATCTATCTAAGGAACAATCACTGGACGAACTTGACACCTTCATACATGTGCACAAATCTGCATGGAAAAGTTTTATACTCGGACATATGACCTCTTCCCCCCACCCCCATTCCAGTGTTAAGAAATGACATGCAATTTAGTCTGCCAAAAAGGCACTCCCTGTATTCTGGCAGTAACATGCTGCTTCTAGTACATAATCAAGTGAATACCAGAACTACAAAGGCAGGAGTGTAAGTGAAATTTTATTGGGAGGGGATAGCAGTTGAACAGCAGCAACTGAAGAGTAAGAAGAATCCCTGTATTTAAAACACTCAGTAGCTCCTGCTGTACACACATATAGGAAGCCACTCTGCCATGCTTCCCATTTGGCCCAAGACACCCCAGATCCTACAGAAACGAATACACAGTAGCACGGGAAAGTCAAATCACCAAGAAACCCCTGCAGAATAAAAAGGGAATGTGGAGAATTGAACTGTGTTGAACACTCTTTAGTTGCATTAACTACATTTTCATTTCATCACTGTAATACAAAAAAAACCAAAAAAAAAAAAAAAAACCACCACAGTTGCTTGCAGGAACTGGTTCAGATTTCTTTTTAAATACCAGAAACTTTAGTCCGCTACATAAGTGTTTGGAAGTTACTTATGTTTATATGGAAATTAAGCCAGTATTAATACTTTTCTACAGCAGTAAACGCACACCAGGAAGGCCAGGACAAAACACAAATCAAGGAATGGAGTTTTCCCAAAGCTGCAGTGTGAAAAGACTATAAATTGATTTCCATACACATGGATGGCTTCTCTTTGCTATAGGAAATCCAAGTGGAGCTATAAGGAATGAGACGTGTAAAAAGGTTTCTTGAGAAGGGGAATGACACTCCATATGCAGTTTAGTTTTCTGCACCTTCTGCAGCATCACATTCTTCTCCTGCACTGTCTGATGTCCATAACTGGAAAGAAGAACAGCCATAATCAGGTATGGTTCACTTGCAACACCATTCTCAATAGCAGCCTGGCACAAAAGTATAATCAGTGACCTGCCTCATCTGGTAAACTACATGAAAAGCAGTAGTTTTACTTGCACCTTATTATATTTCTAAATATATCTGTTAAGTCTATCAAGCCTAGATGTACAATCTCCAATTTAGTAATGAGCAATATTTTTAGAAGCAAGCAGTATTATCAGAAGTGAGATATTCTCAGTTTTACATCCATCACAACCCCAGCTCACAACTCCCTTTTAATAAATGCAGCAGGAGTAGTACTCCAAAAACCTAGCTGACACTATTTGGGAACCCAAAGTCTAAGCACAATGACTGTAGAAAGACCAGGCACATCTTACTGTGAGGTTGTCTCTAAGCAACTGCATGATGAGAGTGCTGTCTTTGTACGAGTCTTCATTCAGCGTATCAAGTTCTGCAATGGCTTCATCAAAAGCCTAGGAAAGACATTCAGATTATTCTTACGCTTTAGGCAAAAGACCCCCCCCCCAAAAAAAGTAGGTATGTTTTAAAAACAAGCCATCAGATAAGGTATTCCTTCAGAAGTTTAGGCTGTTTCTTTTTTACATAAACTGCTTTGATATAGGATAAACAAGATTTGATTATCAGCATAGTCATTGTACAAAGCCTATTCTGGAAGACATTTCAGAAGCAAGAGAAGTTAGTACTCAGTGAACATTTCCTGCTACAAGTTTAATGTACAGCAATTTAGGTTTTCTGTGGGCTGGTATTAAACTTGGGGTTATACATCTGTGGTTGTGTTCAAACATTCAACTCTTCAGAGGAGTATACATGGATGTAGGCTTTCCTTTGGAGAACAATAATGCAATATGGGGGAATATTGTAATGATGCCACTTTTGATCAAACCTAAATTATGTTCACTCAGCTCATGTTCTACTGTGACTAAAGGTGCTTATTTCCCAAAGTGGGCCTAGAAATGAAACCCTTCTAAGACAATAACATTAGCCTCTCAAAACAAAAATGTTTTAAGACCAGCCATCAATGGTGTGCCTGTTCATAGCCTTCACTGTTAAAATTATTCCGCATGCTCTATCAGGTGACAGAATGCCACAAGGAGGAAGTAGAAGCAAGATCATACTAGCAGTCCCCTGAATGAAGAATAGGTAAAGTGAACACACCCATATATACAACTTCAGTATCCAAGAAGATAAGCAAATGTGGTTAAGGAGTCCTGCTCCCTTATTCAAACTAACTTTCCCACTCACGCCCAAAGTCAACTTACTGTCTTTGCCAATGTGCAAGCCAGCTCTGGGTTGTTGAGGATCTCATAGTAAAATACGGAAAAGTTAAGCGCTAAGCCTAAACGAATTGGATGTGTGGGTTGCATCTCTTTCTTGCTGATGTCAAATGCCTCCTGATAAGCCGCCTGTGAATTTTCTATTGTTTCTGTTAAGAAAAAGCAAGGCAAAAGGGATTATGAGACAAACTAGTAGGTTCTTAACATTATCTTCACACACAACATGTAACTATTATTTATAAGACTAGATATACCTTTACTGTAAAGCAGAGGCTTAAATTAATATTGTACTCACGTTTTCTGTCATCTCCGCTGGCAACCTCCGCCAGGTATCGAAAGTAGTCTCCCTTCATCTTCAGATAGAACACCTTGCTCTCTGGGTTAGTTGCATTAGCTATTAAGTACTTGTCCAGCAACTCCTAACGAAAGAGGAGGGGGGAGAATTTCAAGTAATTTCAATAGTAAGGCCATAAATACTACCACAGATGTGTGTTCAGACACAATGTGAATGATTGCTAAAATGCCATTTTTATATATTATGCACTAAGTAGATAAAGACCCTGTAGCAAGAGAAATGGTGTTTCAATTTAAGAAGTGGCACTGTTTGTCCCCTGAGACTGTCTTTCAAGATGGGAAACACAAATGAAGGATTGAAGTGTTGTAACCAAAATTAGATTTACTTTTTGGAGTAAAAACTGAGTCAGGTATGAAGCAAACCTTTAGGAATTGTGGTCACATGCCCAATACCCCATTCTTTCACTATGAGATACATCACTTTCTGACATAAGAGGCTGCTTACCAAAGAAAAATTCATAATCAACAGCTCGCAAGAAAAACAGGTTTTACAAATAAAGTATAGGGAGTGTGATTTTTTTTGGGGGGGCCATAGTACTATTCCTAGTTATTTCTACACTGTTTCCACTTTTGATTAATTCCTTCTCAAAATAAATACCCAAGTATTGCATTAAAAATTGAAGCAATAGCTTTTTAAAGCACACTAAGTGCTGCATTGAATATAAAAGCTACACCCATCACCTTTGCAGCAAACCACTGCCAACAACACAGCCACAGTTCATTTGATTGTCTTATACCTGTGACAGTTGCCCAAAGTAATGATTCCATCCAGACACTCCACGATTACTTTTTAAGTATTTAGCAGCTTCAGCCAATCATCTTACTGCATAAGCCATTCAATATAGTTCAAATAGTTCAATGCTCAAACGTTTATTTTTCAAATAGAAATTATTGCCTTATGTGCCATGCTAAAAAAATTGTGCTGATTTAGTCACAGATCTGTTTAATGAAGGTTTTTTGAATTGGAATGCACAGATTCAATTAACTATTTTTTTTGTCAACAATATGCATTTAAAGTATAGCTGAAGCATAAACTTTAGCTAAAGCCACCCCTACATAAAGGACCACTATGATACATCACAGTCACTCTCTCTCCCCGCTCGCCCCGTTCCCACTAAGCTTTCTATTTCCTCACAGTGGAGAATAATCTAATTCAGCTGTTTTAGCAGATTTAAAGTCACTTCTGCTTTTGAGTAGTAAATAGTAAGTTGATGTCTGAAGTCCTGACAAGTCACCCACAGTCCAACTGTATGCACACCATATCCAATTATGAGAAAGAATAGCCAATTGGAACCTTTGGCTATTAGCCTTGTATGTCTACAAGAGAAAGTCTTAAACAGTTATGCTAGAGTTCTGGTTAACATCCTCCGCAGATACTAAAGTTTGTGAACCTTCTTTGGTATCAGACTTCTGTCACTGGACAGCCAATTTTTAGGCTAATCAACATGCTGGGTAACGAAGCAGCATGGTCAGAACTAGACACACCTAGGCAAGTTAAAAGAACTTGAGGCAGAGACATATTTTGAAACTAACTTGAAAGAACACACTTATATTTTTACCAGCCAGAAGTGTGACCAGCAAGATAGTCCTAGAGTCTAGAGACTTGAAATAGAAGACCTATTTTCCCTACAGGACACCAATGTCAAACATTTGCTAGCAACATGGTATTTTCATACCATGCTTAATTTGCCACTAGGGGAGAAATTCAGTGTTGCACTCTTCTGATCAGCACAAGCATTTCAGCTTACCAGATGAACAATCCTTGCTTCTCTTGCCCCCACATGCTGTTCTAGGGGTGCTCCTGACACACACACAGAGTTAGTTTCAGGGATGCACAGGGGAGGAGAGCAGAAGTCCTTGTATTGGGCTGACAGGACTCATCATTAAATGACTCACACCCTATGTACAAAATGTTTTGATTTTGAATATGTATCAAAGCTTTCAAGGAATCGGAACAAAAGCAGGGAATAAACTTTCCCCTCTTAAATGGAATTGCTCTAAAATGTCATTAAGTTCCACTGTTAACTGCCAAGAGACTAGTATTATCATGCTACAGCAGAGCGAGAATGGAAGCAGACACTGTTATCAGCTCTGTTGAGACTAGTAACTTTTAGCTCCTCCCCTCCATGAACTGCTTCCATTCCAGCTGGAAGAACAAAGAACTAGGGGGCTTGAGTTTGCTTTCCACCCTCCCGTCTCTTCATTTTGTCTCATGCCTTTTAGAAAGTAAGCCTAAGAACAGGTAATGCCTTCGGACTCTTTAAGCTGCTCTGAGTTTCTGAAGAGCTGCACAAAGATGCTTTAAGCTTCAGAAAGTAGAGAGCAATTTTATTTCTCAATACAGTCATATTTCCCTTTGATGTTTAGATTAAAGTTTTGAAAATATTGTTTGCATTCAATGCCTGCTTTTCTATGAAAATATATAGTACCAGTATCATTAAATGCAATCTACTGTTAATAAATCTTCTGTTCTACAGTTCATATATTTATTGGAATTAAAGACATACCATATCTTTCTTTCAGAATGTATTCTTTACTACTTTATCTGAATGGTTTGACTAAAGCACACAGCAAGATGTTGTCTGGTAATAATATAGCATAAACCATTTGTTCAGGCAAAAGAGGAAGGAGTCACTCTCAGTATAGCCTACAGACTACCATTTTAGCCCAGCTGTACCAACATGGATGGGGCTTTTTGCAAAGAGGTTAGACCTAAGTTCTACATGCAGAGCTACTATAATTGTTATTTTAGCAATTATAACTTATAGTCAAATTTATGCACTTGCAAAATGACTAATAGTGCCATTCTGCTAAAGACTGTGCTCCGTGGTTATCACCCCAAGTCACCTAATGAAATGCAGGTGGTTTTTCAACTCATTTTGTTTTTAAATGACAAAGATGCCATTTAATATTGTATATCCTGTAATAACACATTTCATAGGAACAAAGGAAATTGCATTATACCAAGTCAGATCATTGGGTCCATCTAGCTCAGCATTGTCTAAACTGACTGGCAGCCACCGTTCAGGATTTCAGGCAGAAGTCTTTCCCAACATGGAGATGCCAAGAATTGAACCTGGGGCCTACTGCATACACAGCAGACACTCTGCCACTGAGCTATTGCCATCCTCATTAAAAAAGAATTCTGGGAAATGTAATTTACACTCCCTCACAGAGCTAAGAGCATAGAACACAGCCTTACACTGAATCAGACCAGGCTCAGTATTGTCTACACTGTCAACAGCTCTCTGGGGTTTCAGACAAGAGTTTGCCCAGCCCTACCTGGAGACAGGTTAAGAGTTCAGACTGGCCTACACTGCCTAGTCGTCTACTCAGCCCTTCAATCTAAAAGGGAAGTGACAACTCAGCCTATACCAATTGTTTGCTCCAGCTTTGGGTGATGGAGGTACATCCACAGAAGATATATGCATAGTTATTCCAATTCCATACTTACCCCTCTGATTTATAATCAATGTCTCGTTGTTGTCTAACCAGATGCAACATCTAACACTTTTGTGCAGAAAGTGTGGGTTAATCAAACATACATGACACAGACAGGTAACAAGGACTCAATGTCAGCAGGAGATGGTAAAGACAGCTAGTAGCCAAATGTTAACCTCAAGTACAGTAAGCCTATAGTAGCAATTAATAGCTAGGGTCAACTCTTTTCTGCATGTAAAATCAACTAGTCAATTTTATGGACTATGGTTTATTGTAATATACTTCCTGATCTAATCTACTCCTTACTTTCTCTTTGAATCCTCAAAAAGTAGCAAAGTTTATTTCAGCTGAAGCATGTGGCAACTCAAGAATGGGCCTTTTCTACAGTGGCTCTCTGTTGCAAAAATGTTTCTCTATAAGCATACCTTTTCGGTTGATTAACATTCTATGGCCTTTTAAATGTCCTTGTTGGGGGGCATGCTATTAGTTTGTTTTTATTATGTCTTTTGTATTTTTATGTTGTGAACCGCCCTGTGATCTGATAAATGGTGTACAAATTTAATAATAAAAATAAAATACTAATACTGTAATGTGAGCGGTGTGCATAGTCAACTCCCGTCTCTATTGTAAACTAGAATATACTAAGTTAGTACCAGCACATATTTAATTGCTCCAAAAACACATGACATGAATCATCCTTGTGAGAAACTCTCAAGCCCCTGATGAATCAGATTGCAAAGATGAATCAGCTTGCGAAACTGAACCAACCTCAAACATTTAAGTGCTCCAGCAGTAGAGATACGAAGCTGAATCTCAAATACTCTCACTTGAAAAGAAGTCCATTTCAATGGAACTTGTTTCCAAGCAAATATGCTTAGGAACACACCTAAGGTTTAACTAATCAGGGCCACATGTGTACTCTTAACACAACTTAATATTCTGCACTTGGCCAACTGTCTAAGCGAGGAACAAGATCACTTGTTATGATGGATGGTGTGGGATTTATCAAGTAATTTCTACAGCACCTGAAATTTCAGCAATCATAGCTTACACAATCATATCTTAAACATATATTCAGCCATAAGAACTAGAAACTACTTTTGTTTGAAAGAAGTCAAATTCTGCACCTGTTACTGCATTCTGTGGCATTTTTGGCTCACCTGTGGATCTGATGCACACATGTTCCTACTGCCATACTATATATTTCAAAATTGTTAATACGATTATATTTCAAGTGAATTTTGAAGTATTCCCCCACACACAATCCAATTACTTCCTGCTACTGCTACTCTCAACTTGTTGGATACTTCTGACCTCAGCATGTCTACATGCAACCCTATATAATAAATTATCATGTTGAAAGATATTGTGAGATATGTTTTAATGCTTCCATTGTATGGTTTCCACCTTTTTAATGTTGTAAACTACTTTGCTATGTTTTCTGATGTAGCAGTGTTTAAATACATATTTTAAGCGTTTGTTTAATGAACTAATAGGTCCCCACTACAGAAATCCACAAAAAACACTTTGGAGAGGTTGGAGAAGAAATAATAGTAAGTTGCACTTTAATTCAGCTATGAAGAATGCTTTTGGCATTCAGAATTGTACTTTGGTTCTTAGCACTAAGCTTCTTGATTTGGAAAGCATTAGGAAGTCAGTGGACTACAACTGGATGGTAAGTAAAAAAAAAGTACTGAAGTATGTTACAATCCTGCATTCAGTCTCAGTGGTAATCTATCAAGTGGTTGACAGTCTTCTCTGTTACCAGGGAGTGATTTGTGCCTTCTACTAATGCATGTAAATTGATCATTTCTTAATTACTAAACTGCAACACCAAGCTCTAACTAGGACACTAATACAGTTTTTTTTTTTTTAAAAAAAGGAGATAGCCAACCTATCAATAACGGCAATAGTCTTAAAAGGCACATGCAGTGTTCTACTCATGCACCAAGGCTTAAACCTCCAAATAGCTGTTGAAGGTCATGAGACAAAACTAATTTTATTTAGTAAAATCAGCAAGGCATTCTCTCCCTTTTCCACCTATCACAAAATGGTTAGCATAAGGCTGTTTAAATCTGTCATAGCATTTCAGTTCATTACAATACTAGCGTACATCAAAATTCCTTTCCTAATCAGTACCTCTGTGCGCACACTGCATAGATTTATTTCTAAACTATTTTTAACCGACTCCAACAATACATTAGTAGCAATGGCCCAATACTGATCCCTAGTTTTAAGCTGTTTCTACCTGCTACACTTGTGTGTTTTATTATATTAAACTATATTTCTATATATTTCTATATTATATTAAACTATATTTCTGCATACATATATTTCTGTTGCGTATCACCTAGAGAATTCATGTTATGAGGAGATGAACATACACAAATATTAAATTGGTTTATTCAGTAATCATTTATTCTGTCGTTTTATGTTGTTGTGTGACATCATAAGGACTGCTACAACAGTGAAAAGGTGAGATATTGAAGGTTTCTTCATGAAGTAACCATATTAAAAATTAAAAAGAGCTGGTATATTTAAGCCCTCACTGATTCTCAGAAATACAATTTATCAGTGTTCAGTTTTAACCAACAGGCCTGGGAACATCCTTTTATTCCATAAACATCCTAATTCAATTAAAATAACTGTTACTACATTAGTCTCTGACATCTGAAAATGGTACATAGATACTAGGCATTCCTGCTTGTTGAATGCATTGCGGAACCTGACTTAAAAAGCTTATGATATTCAAGTACAGTGGTACCTCCAGTTATGAACTAAATTCATTCTGGAGGTCTGTTCTTAACCTGAAACTTTTCTTAACATGAGGTACACTTTCACTGATGGGGCCTCCCGCTGCCGCACGACTTCCGCTTGCATCACAGGGCGAAGTTCGCAACAAGGAGCATCTACTTCTGGGTTAATGGAGCTTGTTACCCGAAGCGTTCATAAGGAGGCCCGTACATAACTAGAAGTTCTACTGTACCCAGATTTTATGTAAAAAAAAAGATAGAAGAATCCAAGCCATTCACAAGTGCTGCTACCCTTTTTAGCATTGCTCATTTGAATGGAAACTGACAGCATTTTGTTCTGCAAAATATATGAATTCATTTCTCCCACCGGTAAGACTTTGTTTGGAATCTCTGGTTTTCTGGTAGAATGTCAAAATGTTTTGTTATTGACATTTCAGCACAGAACTTAGAAGACTAGCAAAATTAGAAATGATCAACAAAATGTGATTGTTAAATATGAAATATAAAGCAGAACATTTTAAGCTGCACAGATTTCACCTATGGGCATGCTCAATTCCCTCAAAATAATCACTTTAAAGTGCCCAACCTTGGTTAGAATGAATTCCCTTAGTTACCAAGACATAGTATCTTCTTAACTTTGTAAAATCCACCTAGTTAAAATATGAAGCAGCTGTCTGCTTTCCTTTTCCTGTCTACTCTTTAACAGACCATTTCTACTTACCTGCCTAAATTCCACAGTACATGCCCAACTGAGGACTGCAGTCTGCAGCTACTAGTCATGAAAAGGGGGCATATACACAGCTCACTGCTGCAAATGGAGTACTTTCCTATCATCATGCTTGGAAAAATGTTTTAAGATAGTTTGCCGCAAGCAGCCTTATCTAAAAGCTCAGAGAGAAAAAGTGCACGTGAGGAGAAGACTCCCAGGAAAGATGTCCTTGCACTAAACTTTAGTTTTCAGAACATGAACATCTTTTTTGGGGCAGGGGCAAAGAACCTTTTTTTCAGCAAAAGGGTCACATTTCCTCATGGGGAAGCTTCTAAGGGCCACATGTCAGGGGTGGGTGGGGCCACTTTGTACAGTAAGCTACACACCAGTCAGTTAAAAGTTTTAGACAGACACACACCTCTCCCCAGCCTTCATCAAGACAAGCAAGACATTATTAATTCAATGACACACTCCAGCCAAAGAAAAGTACTCAAGGAAGAGACAGGGAAAGAGTGATGAGTGTGGCCTGGACCAAGGGGTGGGGGCTCCCACGGTCAAATCTGAGTCCTGGAGTACCACATTCAGGCCTGGGGCCTTAAGTTCCCCACCACCTCATGGTGCTCAAAGGACCAACTAATCATGTCCAGTAACGTCGGAAAATGCAACTGTGCCTACAAACACCTGCGTAATTAGTTTTAACACAGCATTTAATGGGCATGAGTCACCTCAACTGCTGAAAGTATGTTCAGTTTCTCACTAGGGAAAGTCCTTTACTTCCACTATGCTGATTGGACAATGTCTTAGCAAGCCTTCTATGTACCGCCAGGTAAACATATATACATTTTTATGAATCTAGCATCAACTATACATATTGTTGGCAAACTGAAGGCAGTATTAAACTAGTTTTTGAAGGTCCCTAAACATGACTAAGCATTTAATGAACTGTTAAAGGTAAAGGGTCCAGTCAAGGACAACTCTGGGGTTGCGGCGCTCATCTTGCTTTACTGGCCAAGGGAGCCGGCATGCAACTCCCGGGTCATGTGACCAGCATGACTAAGCTGCTTCTGGCAAAACCAGAGCAGCGCACAGAAACGCCGTTTACCTTCCCACCAGAGCGGTACCTATTTATCTACTTGCACTTTGATGTGCTTTCAAACTGCTAGGTTGGCAGGAGCAGGGACCAAGCAACGAGAGCTCACCCCATTGCAGGGATTCGAACCGCCGACCTTCCGATCAGCAAGTGCTATTGACACACAATCTGTTCCATTATAATCAGTTTCACTCTTCAATTCTAAGATGTGTAACAAATGACTGCGTACTGATTTTTCTTGTGTTTTCCAAGTATCAACCAATTTGTCAAAATTTATTTGTTACATATCATTAGTTTACACAGCTTTCCAACAGTTCACTGCTCAAGAGAAGTTTAGAGTAGAGCTAGACCTTGGGCCAACAAAATTTAGAATACTTCTTGCACTACTACATATTTAGGAAAATATTGATAATTCAAGTATACAATTTATATGGAATAGGATGCGCAGGGTTCAAAAGGAAACACCAATATAACTGTCTACATTTGTAGCAAAAGAATTGTGTTCAAAATAACCAAAAATAGTGCGGTGGGTTTTTTTTTGAAAGATTAGAATCATTCATTGTCACTTTACCCCACCCCAAATAGCCATATATTCGACCAGAAAGTTCAAGCTTGAAATCAAAAGGCATTTCTGTACTGCTGGTATGCAATAGAGATGACTAAGGACAGTGGCTAGGATCCAAAGAGCTACTTTAGACACACCCAAGAGCTTGGGCTTGCCTAATAAGATTTTTTTTACTTTTCATTGAACAGACCCTCATTTTAAAAGTCCCCATAACTTCAAAAGTGCTTTGCTGCATAGTATACAATGCTGTCTTTTATTTTACAGACTCAAAAAGCCCCCCTTTGGTGAAAGGAATTAAATGTCAGAAGCAAACATGTACAATGTTTCCTACAAAATAAATATGCACTAGGAGTTGAGATGGTGCCCTAAGGATCAGAGAAACACTTTTTTGCAGACAGAAACAAAGTACCAGAGGACATTTGTTCTTCACTGGTTGCCAACCTCCTTAACCCAATCCAAATCAAAATTTAGGTGGCATAAAGTAAATGGAGAAAAGCTTCAAACGAATTCTAATTATCCTAGCCTACCTGCAGAAACAGATATAAAAATTACTTTAAATAAATGTATCAAATGACTGCAGATTTGTAACAACAAAAATATGAATTTAGAGAAAGCAAGTATTACTACTACAGTTATCAGCAACACAGAAGACTCTGGTGGGTCAATTAAAAACCGTACTCTAGCTTTGGCATGTCAACTTACCATGATTTATTAAAAACAAAATAGCTACTTAAAGAATCCAAGACCAAATACGAATGCCTAAAGAGTATTGCCTGTTGCTTTGGACATATTTATGAAACAGACAACCTGTGTTCTTCATAACCTTGTGCTAGCTCTCCATCACTTGCAGTAGGTAATATGAAACTACTGCCAGAACCCATAGAAGAAACAGGCAAGAGCAATGCAAGTGAAACTATTAGAAGCAGAGATTAATTCCAACTATGTTCCATGAATATCCTCTACTCAATGAATTTAGGATTTAGCATATAGAATTTAGGATTTAGCATATACTAGCTTCTATATTTCAATGAACAAAGCAATAGATATGACCCCAGGGGAACCTATGTGTAGCTTTTTCAGCCTATTTAGTTCCTCAAATACAGACTTTTTAATACAAGGCATTATGAGAGTGCATTGCTACTGATTACAGATAAAACAGCTTTTACAGTTCAATCCTCATTCTCACATTTTCCAAGTAACTGTCAGTGGAAACCCACTTTTGCAGTAAATTCACTTTAGTCAACATTTGTTTACGTACATTCACTGTTCCTGGGAAGGTATGGCAAAATATTATATTTAAATTCAACATCTTACATTTTAAATCTACATCTCACAAAATGCAATTCATCCCACTCCTAGGCCTCAGGCTTCAACTCAGTAAGTCAGCTATAAATAAAAAGGTGAAGTATGCTTAACAAACTCACCAGAACTGTAGTGCAGATGGACTTAAGTTCAGACTCCACTTTCTCTCGGTAGTCCTTGACAAGCTGCATCTTCTTGTCATTTCCGTCAGTTTTCTGCTCAATGCTAGAGATCACTCGCCAAGCAGAGCGTCTTCCCCCAACCACATTCTTGTACGCCACAGAGAGAAGATTGCGTTCTTCATTGGATAATTCAGCACCTTGCTCTGTCACTGCCTTCATGCAGGTAGCCATATCATCATAACGCTCCGCCTGCTCAGCCAGCTTGGCTTTCTGAATCATCTCGGTCTTTTCCATGTTGGCCAGCAATGGTATAAGCAGCAAGGCAACTGATTTAGTAGGGGGAAAGGAACAGCAGGGCCTTTCACAAAGTCAGAAGGCACCTCAAAACCTGGAACAGGAAGAGACGAATATTCTGAAACCTGTACAGTACTCCTAAAGAACAGAGTTACCAGCCATACAAAAAGCTCCTATAGATTTAGGAAATCCAAACCACAAGAGACAGAGCAACTTAAACAAAGGCCATTGAGAAACAATCACTAAAAGCCTCAATTCAAACCAAGCTGACAAAAAGATGTACCATTCCCAAAACATTTCTGTCAACCAGGGAACACTAACAGGGCCTGTCGAGATAACATAAGTGGAAGAAGCACTCATGTTCAGAACAGGTGATTAGACCCTCCCTACCTAAGAGATTTCCAGCACCTTGTGGACAGGAGATGCCAGGCCTTTGGAAATGGTGGTCAGGAGTAGTGTGGCATACAGTTCCAAGGTGTGTGATGCTGGAGTTGGGCACTAGAGACTGGTTTGTGTTTTTTAAAGACCCAAGACACAAAAAAGATTCCATTTAAGGGAGGGGGGGAAGAATCCAAACGTTACGTCTAAAATCACCCACCCACAAACCCAATGCAGTGTTTGTAAGAAAGCAGGCTAAGAAGAGGAGAATGGAAGTGGCGCCATAGGTGACCTACAACCTGGACTTGTGAATGGCAAGTAAGGGGAGGAGGAAAAAAAGAGCAGAGAGAGAAAAGGCACAAGGTGCAGGGGGAGAAGAAGAGGGCGAGCAACTCTTCTCAGGAGCAGATCGCTAAGCAATGCCTGGCAGGCGGGACTAGGGTGGGAAGATGGGAGAGAAGAAAGAGAGTGCAGAGGCGGAGAAGCCCGGGGCGATTCGCTTGGCGTTGGAGGAGGACGATGTGCAAAAAAAAAACAAAAAGGAAGGAGAAAGGAGTGTCGAACCTTTTTTTTTGGGGGGGGGGATATAAAAGGCGGCCGATTTTCCTGGATAATAAAAATGTGCTGGGGTGGGGGAGAAGCGAGAGAAGGACCGATCCCCCCCTCCCCCTCAGGCAAAGGGAAAAGGCGGCGGCGGCGGCTCCGCACTGCCTTTGTCCCCGCAGGCGGAGGAGGGAGCGAGTGAGGCGCGGGTGGCAGCCACCCAGCCTCGCCTGCCCTGCCCTCAGCCGCGCTCCCGCCCGTCTCCTTTCCCGCCGTCCCTCAGGAAATGCTCTGCAGGGCCGGTACGAAATGGCGGAGGCGGCGGCGGAGGGGACGACGACGACTCCGGGAGCTCCGCGCCGCCTCCACAAAATGGACGACGCGGCAGGGATTAGGCAAGGGAAGGCGCAGCCAGGGAGGGAGGGAGGGAGGGGAGAAGCGGGAAGCGCGCCTCGCCTAGCCGCGAAGGCCGCCGCCGTCGCCCTCTCACCTGGGTCCGCTGAGGCGCTAGGCCGGGCCGGCGGGCGCCTGCTGGGTCGACTGCGCTCGCTCCGCTCCGGGGCTGGATCAAGAAGGTGGGGAGGAGGAGGAGGAGGAGGAGGAGAGGAGGGAGGGGGGAGAGAGAAAGAGCGAGAGAAAACCGCTCCCGTCTCCAGCCACAGAACCAGCGCTGCTGCTGCTCCCGCCGCTGCTGCTGCTAAAAGGGCGTTGGCACAAAGCGAACCTCTCCTGCTGCTAGGCCCGCGCTCGCCTGCAGCTCAGCCAATCGGCGCGCGCTGCCCGAGCCCGTGCCCCGCCCCTGAGCGCGGCGCGGCCAATCGCCCTCCTGCGCGCCGCCGCGAAGGTGAGCAGAAAAGTCGCGGGCGGCTGGGAGGGAGGGCGCGCAAGTTCGGTTGGCCCGTGCACTGTTGCTTCTGCAGCTGGGGCCACGGGGTTTCCTCCAATTAGGTCCAGGGTGGGCTGACGTCACTGTCGCCATGGCGATGCTGCTACAAGGCCGCCCCACCACCACCTCTCCTTCCCTTCCCCGCCCTTTCTCCGCCTGTCCCTTTTCTCTCACGCGTGTTCTTCTCTCCTTCCCTGGGCAGGGCGAGGCACGAGACGGTGCGGAAGCGAGGCGAAGGCGAGTCGTGCTGCTGCGGAGGGAAAGAGTGGCGGGAAAGGGGAGAGCAAGGCTGCGGGTTTCTGGTCCTGCTGCAATCGCAGGAAGGAGAATGTCAGGGTATCATGGGGTTTGCAGTGCGGGCCTGTGAGATAAGGGCTGCAGAGGCGCTTCGGTGGTGCAGAGCGGGACGTGCTACTGGTTCCGCCGACCACCAACCTCCTTTTTCAGCAGCGGTGCTGCCATGCAAACGTCCGACAGCCATGGCAGTTGTAAAATAAAAGGATGCTGTTGGAGGAGGAAAGCCCCGTTTAGACCTGCTTGGACATCTGCTGCTCCTTCCTGAGATTGTAGCCTTTTTCAAGATCAGGTTGAAAGTGAAATCGGTTGGGAGGTTCCACACAGCAAGCTGAAGAACTCATGGTCCAGGCCACGTGGCAGGGACTGTCAACCCCAGAGCAAACTTACCCGTGGCGATTATTAAAAAATGGGCACTTGGAAGATGCTCCTTCAAAAGCAACCTGTCAGGCAATGCACTTGCACATGAGAAGACCCATGGGTGGAGCATGCATCTTGCATGCAAGTGGTTCCAGGCAAGAAGAGTGCTGTGGGTCAGGCCAATGGCCCAATCTAGTCCAGCATGCTGTTCTCACAGCACCCAACCAGGTGCCTGCGGGGAACTCACAAGCAGGACCTTGAGCGCAAGAGCATTCTCCCCTATGTAAGATTTCCAGCTGCTGGTATTGAGAAGGATCCTGCCTCAAAAAATGGGGCTAGGACATAGCTATCATAGCTAGTAGCCATTGATAGGTATGGTTGGGAGAGACCCCTGTCTGATACCCTGGAGAGCCATTGCCAGTCATTGTAGACCATGGGCACGGAATGTTCCAGCTCACAGACCTAATTAGGCCTGCCAGGCCATTTCAGCCAAGCCACCACACAACATCAGGTGTGGAGCAGGTAAAGGCCTGGCTGAGCCAATGGAGGCCTTTGCAGGAAGCAATGGTTGGCAGAGCCCACAAAGTCCTGTGAAAAGTGCTGGGCAAGATAACACTTTAAATAGGGCTTTTGAGGATCCCTATGGGCAAAAAACCCCTTGACATAATTGCGACTTCAGGTGGGTGGCTCAGTCCATCTGTCAAACTTGGCCTCCAAATGCGACCATTTGTAACTGTGCAACTTCTTAAAAAGTCCCAAACTTGATGTAAGCAATTTTTGCCCCATTGATTTCAATGAAGGGGAGTATTTTAAAATGCTCCCCCCCCCCAACAATCTCTCACCATGACCACAACAGAGCAGAGGATAATGGTGTAACTCAGCATCCAGTTATAGTACAGTAAGATGACAGGGCACACAGCATCGAACTATATCCCTCTGTGACAAAGCAGCAGAATAGATTCTCAAAGATGCTTGGGTTTATTAAAGCATTTTGGAACTACTGCTGCTTTTGGGGGCAACCAGAGTAAATAAACTTCTTGGCTGCAGTGTAGGTCATTCCTGAATCCAGGGCATTTCTAAATGGGAACTGTTAGCGCTTTCCTTTCCTAAATAGTGCCCCAGTAAATGGTGTGTTTCTTGGGCTGTGTACACACCGTAACTTGAAAGCTCACCAAAAGCACAATCTTTCCCTCAAAGTATTCTGGGCACTGTAGTTTGCCCCCTACAGAGTTACAATTGCCAGCAACACTTAACAAACTACAGTGCCCAGAATTCTTTGAGATGGGGGAATGTGCTTCAACTGTTCTTTAAAGTTACAGTGTGTACACAGCCTTGGTCTGGGAAACGCTCTCAACAGTAAGGAGTCAATACTAGCACTGAACTTAGTATTGTAAAAAAGGGGGAGCAGATTATATATGGATGGTGTTTTGAAGTTTTTTTGGCCAGCTGTTCATTCACAATCACCAAATGTCCTTGGGAGTCACTGTATTATATATAGATTGCTTAAAATAGAAATTATTAGGCATTTTGCCACATTTCAAAAAGAAACTCTTAACTGCTTAAGTATTTAACTGTTAAACTTTGACAGAGAGGAAGCCTTTTGTACTGAGAAGATTGCTTTATATAGTCCCATGAAGTCCCATGCTAATACAGCTCATAATTGTTTTCCATGGGGAAATATTGGCAGCATGTCAAAATAGTATCCGGATATGAAAATTCAGCAGACTCATGCTAGTGCCAAATAGCCATTAGTACACTTTATAGACAGTGTTGCCCAGCATCTACTAAACTAGTAGAAATAGAAGACAGACTAAGTTGGATATTTGTCGGCTGTAGTGCTGTCATTTTAAATATAGTTTCAAATCAATCAGTTGTCAGTTTGTGTGCAGGGTGGAGGGGAGTTTTTACCCATCTTCACTGGTAAAGGTAAAAGAACCCCTGACCATTAGATCCAGTTGTGGCCGACTCTGGGGTTGCGGTGCTCATCTCGCTTTACTGGCCAAGGGAGCTGGCGTACAGATTCCGGGTCATGTGGTCAGCATGACTAAGCCGCTTCTGGCAAACCAGAGCAGTGCACGGAAACACCGTTTACCTTCCCGCCAGAGTGGTACCTATTTATCTACTTGCACTTCGATGTGCTTTTGAACTGCTAGGTTGGCAGGAGCAGGGACCGAGCAACAGAAGCTTACCCTGTTGCGGGGATTCGAACCGCCGACCTTCTGATCGGCAAGCCCTAGGCTCTGTGGTTTAGACCACAGCGCCACCCGCGTCGCATCTTCATTGGTAAGTGATGTTAAACTTGCAAATAAGCGTTTATGTGCTTTGATAAGGAGACATGCGCTTTCAACATTCATTTACCTAAAGAAAATACTGGTGCAGAGATGGGAGGGAGAAAGTGTCATTCTGGAAGGAGTAATTTCACAAAGTAGCACATCGTCCAGGAATCACAGTCCCTTGTATGAAGCAGTATGTGGCCAAGGAGGTCTCTCTCGTTTCTTTTTTAAGGTGGGTTTTGCAATAAAACCAAAAAGGATGTGCAGGAATAGCATTGCAGTAGCTCTCTGTTTCATGGCAATTTAGTAGTCATTATGTTGGACTTGGGCCTTATGGATTTAGGGTCAAATCTAACATTAGCAATAAACTCCCTAAGTAGCCCTGGGTAAGTATAATGGGTTGCTATAGCTTGTAAATGATGAATGAGATGACAAAAGTATTGATTCGCTTTAATGCTACAAGTGCATCTTTGCTCTCTGCATTTGATTAATATTGTTACATGCTAATTTAAAAAGGATGAAACATACAGCATTGCATGGAATTGTAATTCAGTATCTCTTGGGAGGTTTCCATTGGGGGTTGAAGGGGAGATAAACTTCTGCTCTCCACAGTCTTGTCAGAGAGTACTTTGTATAGTAGTTTTGATAATAAACACTTGCAGGATTTAACAGGGCCTGCCAGCTGGTACAGTTAGTTTTATAGTGCAATTGGTAGATGTTCTTATGTTTCAAATCCTGGGGAAATTGTTATCTCTAGGCTTTAAAAGCAACAACACAATGATGCTATAGATACTGTTACACTGCACCCCAATCTCTGAGCACTGTGAGATTCCAGGGGTTTGCCTATGGCACCCCCAGAATTGTGGTTGAGGAAGCTTTGAACAAGGTACTTTGTAGTTCAGGCTGCATGCGCCACATACAGTAAAGCACATGGCTTCACCTAAACAATCCTAGGAACTGTAGTATATCCATCTCAGAGTTACAGTTCCCAGCACCCTTAACAACGACAGTGGTATCTTGCGTTACAGACGCTTCAGGTTACAGATGCTACAGACTCCGCTAACCCAGAAATAGTACCTCGGGTTAAGAACTTTGCTTCAGGATGAGAACAGAAATTGCGGCGCCAACGGCAAGCCCCATTAGCTAAAGTGGTGCTTCAGGTTAAGAACAGTTTCAGGTTAAGAACGGACCTCCAGAACGAATTATGTTCTTAACCCAAGGTACCACTGTAAGGTGTTCCGATAGAGCTACATTCCAAATATTATTTAACCAGATTTCAATGGGGATTTCTATACGTTGTTTGTAGTACTGGGCTATTGTTAAATGGAGGCAGATATGTGCTTTAAATGTATGGTCTGTATGCAATGGCATAAAAACGATAATGAAAGGAATGTGGTTTTAATGAATGAATAGCGAAATTAAAGAAGTTTTGAAATGAATGGAATAACAAAACTTTGTTTCCCCCCTCCCTTGCACACCCCTTAGTAGCAGCACAATATGATTACTCTGGCCAGTTCTCCCCCATCCCCACTCTTCCAGTTGATAATATGCAGTAATTCTCAGCACTTGCTGCAGTGTAGTGGATTTTGTTGCCTACAGGCCTAATGCTCATTGTTCTCTTGCTGGTCAGACTTGGAGCTACAGTTCAGCAGCAGCAGACAGTACCAATGAATCTGCCATCGCCATGGGAAGAGGCACTGCTAAGAGTCTCTGGAGAACGGAAACAAGGAACTGAAGTGTGCAAAAATAGCACTCGTCAGACTTCCTGATTTGCCGACCCAAAAGCAGCTATAATTTGTGCAGCAGAGGAAGAAACAGGAAGTGTGCCTGCCAAGAAAGCTAAAGAGTCTCAAGGTGAACGAGCCTTTCAGCTAATTATTGACAGGAGACA